TGACTTCATGCAGCCATTTCACTTCTGTAAGTGACTGAGCTCAAATTTAAAGAGCTTCAAAAATAACTTTCAGACCATCATTGCCTTCAAGAAAGGTAAGTGTGAAACCAGTGTTATGTAAGAGGTGAAGCCAGCCCAGTCTTATTTTTATAGCATATATCACATTTCCATTCCCCAGTGACAAACACAAAACTACCTTGAACACATCCTGCCTGACCCCTGGGGCATCTTTGTCAACCACTTATAGCTACTCCTCCACATCTGTGTTATACTGAACTTAATCCGGGCCTCTCATATTATAAGTAGTGAATTTCCAACTGCCCACTCTTCCTGACGGCCAAACCATCCATCCCTTATATCTTGCTTAGAGACATGAATTGGGGGGAATATCTGGGGTAGGGAGGGGCACAGGTAATATGAGGGCTGGGAAGTATGTACCTGGAGACTCAAAAAGAGCAGGGAGATTATTTCTGGGGGACACTCCAAAGGGGTCTGTTATTCTGGGTGACCCCAAAAGACGGTTTCAGACAGTATAGCTATTATATGTTGCAAAGGATATTAAATCACTACTAGCCACAAAACCGCCACAGCTCTAGCAGTTGCTGAGGGCTGAAAAAACAACCAATCAGGTTTCTTGAAGGCCATTCAGTGGTGCCTGCCTGCAGTAAAACAATTTTGCAAATTCACCTCCAAGTATATGGGTAATTTGCATTCTCCCTGTCACCTTCCTTCATATTTTCCAACATATTTTTCCAGGCTTAAAATTTCTGGCTGTACTGCTTGTAACAACAGATCTGTCAAGGGATAAGGGAGCTAGCTAATGTTAGGCATGGTACAGGCTTGAAATAAATGTATTAGAAGTGGGGATGAAATATAGTGTAGTGGTTAAGACTCTGAAGTCAGACAGCTTGCTATGTGACCTTGAGCAAATTATTTAAATCTCCAAGCCTGTTTCCCCATCTGTAATATGTTTATAATAATTGTACTTCATAGACCGCTGTGACAGATTACAGTGAGGTTTAGCTAAGACAATGCACATAAGTGCCTATCTGTTACAGGGGTGGGGAACCTTTTATCTGCCAAAGGCCATTTGGCTATTTGTTCATGGGCATACAAAATTATCAACTTAAAAACTAGACTGCTATATTTGTTCAGGCTAATTTGGTGAGGTGTGTGATGTCAGCTGGTATTGATTTCACAGGCCTTATATGGTCCATGGGCCAGATGTTCTCCACTCCTGGGACTCTAATACATCATAAATGCTCCAAGATAGTTTATTATTATTTAAATCTTGTTGGTTAAGCATTACCATCCCCATTTTACAGATGAGAAAACTGTGGCACAGGTGGTATCAGGATCAGAATCCAGAACTGCCCAACTCTGGAGCTCAAGTTCTTCCTACCACTTACTGGAAAGGTGCCCATTGTTTTGTGTCTTTCAAAGAATCAAAAACTCTAGGCTTGACTCTCTCAGGAAACTGAAATTCTAGGTCGTCTACTAGTAGTAAGACATAGGGACTTGAGGAGGACAAAAAATTTGGTTACCAAGCTATGATAAAGGCCTGCACCAGCGACTTAAAAAAAGATTGGAAGACATAGGAGATGGTTAGGAAAAAGAATCAGCAAAAACAATCCTCAGATGAGATTTTAAATAGAGCAGCATGTCAAGGATTCAGGAGAGTTGACAAACAAAACTATGAGGTACCATTCTTGCCATTCCAGACAATAAACATACAGAGTGTCTTTGTCTGTAAGTTTGGGAATCCTAGCACTTCACATCCATCTCTTGGAAAGATATGAGTATTGGAATGGAAGCAAAATTAACACTTTGTCTTGCTGCCATTCAGAATAAGTATGTACATCACATTCCACAGTCAGGAACACAAACCACAAAACACTCTGCACTCTGACATAAACCAAAGAAACCTGTTTATGTCTGTCCTCCAAATAAGTCATACCTTGGACATTTTCTATAAGTTACTAATATCTGGAGATGACTTTAGTGAATAAGGCCCTGGCCAGATAGTTCAGTTGGTTAGAGTATTGTCCCAATGGATATGCCAAGACTGTGGGTTTGATTCCCAGTCAGGGCACATAATAGGAATCAACCAATGAATGCATAAATAAATGGAACAACAAACTGATGTTCCTCTCTCTCCCTCTCAAATCAATTTTAAAAAAATACTTTAGTGAAAAAGATGATAAAGTGAGAAAAGTTTTTCCACCATGAACATTCTAATGTAAACTTGGAACTCTTGGTAATATTGCAGTTTTTGTTGTTTTTTCCAAATGTGTTCTGTTTTTAGTTGGTCAGGTAGTCCTTATGAGGGTTGATTCCTTCATACCTCTTTGGCAAGTGAACTTCCTTTACTGCTACATATTTTTGCTTATGTTTTTCTTTCATGTGAGCATATTAAAAGCTTTGACAATTCCTGCAGAAACTTTCATTTAGCATTTCCCAACCTTATTTGGAGGCCACACAGTCTACAAGAACATGGACTCTGATGCCACAGCTCTGCCACTTGGAAGCTGAATGACACTGGGCAATCACTTTAATGCTAAGGCTCAGTTTCATGATCTATGGAATTGTCCTGGTTGCTGGATGACGAGCAATAAATATGGCTAGGAGAGTAACTCAAAGAGCATCCAGCACACTGTCACCCCCCCCACACACACACACATACACACACACACACACACACAATGATTGCGTTTAAACAGAAGTGATCCCTTCTCAACATTCCAACCCACTCTTAGTTTACATGCAACATCCTGCAGGATGCAGCTGTTTGGGAAACACAGACTAAAACTTTTAGGGCAGGCCATCTCCTGTTGCAGCAAGGAAATAACCAAGATGATGCTGATTTAAGTTCTTGTTCCTGCAATTAGATGTGAAGTGTGGGGCAAATTGCAAGTCTTTCTGAGCATAAGATTTCTGCATCTGTAAAATTCAATATTACACAGAGTTGAGATTCGATTATAAAGCATTATATAAATGTGCATTTTTTTGTGGACTCATCTTAGGAACTGTAGCCAGAATCCGTTACAGTCCACAACGATTCAGAAATTGCTCCAACAGAGGTGTACAAATATATAAAATGGAGCCACTTTAAAACAGAGCTGGAGGTGCCATCTCAGAGGAAACTGCCTTGCCTCTCTTATGCCTCAAGCCTTTGCAATGTTAAAACAGGGCAACATAACCTTTACTGAGCCCCCGTTTGCAAGGATACCAAGAAAGATATAACTAAAGACTTAAAATTAAAAATAATGTCTACAATTAGCATCACTATGTTAGCTTAACCTGCATCAACAGAAATGCCTTCCTTCTATAGATGTAATTGTTCCACTTCCCTTTCTAAATACCCCTTGTCTTTGTTTCCTAACTGAAAAACTACTAGGGCTTCTGCCTCAATCAGAGCTTCACCATTAGCAATTCTTCTTTTATTTTATTAATTAATTTATTTTTGTTACAGATGTCCCCCCCCCCCCTTGACCCCACCCTCACCCCCAGGATTGTTGTCTGTGTCCATTGGTTATGCATATATGCATATAAGTTCTTTGGTTTATCTCATCCTTCCCCCACCCTCACACTCCTCTCCTCTGAGGTTTGTCAGTCTGAACCATACTCCTTTCTATGTCTCTGGGTCTATTTTTCTTTTTCTTTTTTAATCTCAAACACGTATTGCCTCTCACTCTGAAAAAGGCCTTTTAATTTTAGGTTAACAGAGAAAACTTTATACAAATAAAAATAAAACAGACGACTTTATAATAGGCTTTCTAGTACAAGTAACCCAGTACACGTCTTTCCCATAGACACTAAGTGCAAATTTCTGATAACTGCTTTATATAAGTCATCTGGGCCTTGGATAAACTGACTGAACAGTTAATTATACAAAAATGCTAACAGAAAAAATGTTACATAGTCACTTCTCAATTATTTATACTAATGAAGAGAAATAACAACATAAACAATAGTTAAATAAATGGTTTATAACATAATAAAACTAACTTTTTTTTTTTAGCAATGTTTCCCAGGCAGGTTTTACTGAAACCGGTTATTGAAATAAAATTTGTACCCTCCAAGTATCAGTTCAATAAGACTAGGATCCCAATACTGGTAAGCCACAAGCTTTCCTAGAAATGAGGGTGTTACACAACCAAGCTATTTCTATTTCACAGGCGCAGTCACAATGTAGTCATCCAGTTCTGAATTTTCTACAACCATCCATCCATTACCGTTGTATTTCTCCACGTAAATGGGTGTCTCAGTAAGACAAGAGTATCACTTAATCTTTCAGTCTGTTTCCTGAACTGTAAAATGGGAATTATATCTGCCTAAGGATGTTATTGTGAAGTTTAAAGATAATGAATATGAAGGACTTGGAAATATGCGGAGCACTTATACTTTCAAAACCCCAACCTTACGTTATTATTTTCCGCACAATGCTTGCTTACTTATTTTAAGTTTAGCTTGCATGGAAGTTCTTCAAATTCTCAGGAAAGGAAGGCCGCCTTCGGGCCTCGGTTTCTTTGAGGCCCTTATCATCGAAACCACCTACTCCTGCGATGCATCCCATCAGTAAACCACCTTTTGGTGCACCCTTACTCAATTCCAAACCTCCTTTTCCAGCTTAACTGTAAGTTCCAAGGGCCCCTTCTCCCAGGGCCCAAGCACCGTGCACGGCCCTAGCACCGTGCACGGCCCTGGCTAGCACGTCCTTCCAGCTTACAGGGGCCACGCTTCCAACGCGCAGCACAGCCCCCGCGCTGGCTTCATCCCGGGCCTCGCCCACGAAACACGGCCACACACCGACAGGTCCCAGGCTCGGACTGCAGCGCTAGCTCCACTTTGAAAAGCCTGACCGCGAACAGCTGAGCAACCTTCCACGAATCCGCTCCAGCCTCAGTTTCCCTAGCGGCAGCTTTAGCGCGCACCAGTCGACCAGGGGAGAGGCCCCAAGGGGCCCGGCACTCCAGGACCCCGCGGAACCGCACACTAACCTGCAAGTGACCTGCTTGGTGCTCATGGTGGTCAGGCTACAGGGCCGTGGTCGCGCTGCCGCTTCTCGCTCTGGCCGCCGCCGTCGCTACCTCAGCCCTGCCCCTCCCTCGTGGTCGCGTCACGACGGCGCACGCCGCCCCTCTCGTGTGGCACCTTTGTAGCGCCGGCCGGAAACCTCGCCGCCGTCACAATTGGTTCCTACCTGGGGTTGAGGCGGAGCCGACCCTCAATCCCCGCACTCCGAGTCCCGCATTTCCGAGACTCCAGGGCGGGGCGTCGCTCGCACTGTTGTTCTGCCAGCCTTATTTCATTTGCTGTTAGTTCCTGGGTCTGCCCCTCTCCGAGGCGTTCCCTAGCGACCTCTCCCGAGGCTAATCTCCCAGCTAGGCTCCCGCCTCTCCTCTGCGCGTCTAAATCCCGAACACACCAACCTGCACCTAAATGTACACTCCCTGGGCCCTTTCTCAGGCCCTGTCTCAGCTGTTCCTGCCGGACCTCGCCTCCCAAGTAAGGAACTCCTCGGTCCTCTCTCAATTGCTCTTTTACAAAATCTCTACTCCCATCCCAAGTTTTAGTCATTTTCTTTCCAGGCATTCCTCTGCTATTTTTCTTCCGTTTACTATGGTGATAACCCAAAAAGATACTCTTGACACTTTCCTCCGGTTCTTCTCAATATCAGCAGATACAGTTGTCCAAAGCATCCTCTCGTGTCCATTTCCACCTTCATGGTTCCAGTCTGAGCAACCAGCACTCCTTGCCTGAGCCCGTGGAATAGCCTCTTACTCTTCTGGCTTCGGTACCTGCCGTCTTCTACTTACACAAAACCTAATTTTAATGATTTTTTTTTTTTTTTTTTGAGAGAGAGGAAGGAAGAGAGAAACATTGAGAAACATCAACGTGAGAGAGAAACATGGATGGGCTGCCTCTTGCACGCCCTCCACTGGGAATCCAATGGGACCTCTCAGTCCTTGGGGGCAACCTCAATCCACATGCCCAGGTTGTGGGCCGGATCCCCAGTGGCGGCCAATGAATGTTCTCTCTCATCCATGTTCTCTCTCTCCCTACTTCTCCCTTCCTCTCTCTCTAAAATCAATAAAGAAAGAAAAAATTAAAAGAAAAAGTGAAATGGATCATGTCTTTAACCTCCTTTAACCCTTTCAATGGTTTCCTATTGCTTTTTAAAAATTTCTTAAAAATTTTTTTAAACATTGAGATATAACAGACAAAACACATATGCCCCTATGAAATTCTACATATGTATACACTTGTGAAACCACCACCCAGATCAAGGAACATTATCAATACCCCAGAGGGCTTCTTTGTGCCCCTTCCCAATCAATATCTCCCAAAGATAACTGTTCTTGCCTCTATCATCACAAATTAGTTTAGATTGTTCTTGACCTTTATATAAATGAAATAATTCAGTACATACTCTTGTCTGTCTTTTTCCCCCCCACTTTATTGATTTTAGAGAGAGAGGAAGGGAGAGGGAGAGAGAGATAGAAACATCGATGAGAGAGAACATCAATTGGCCACCTCCTGCATGCCCCTCACTGGGGATCAGGCCCACAACCTGGGCATGTGCCCTGACCAGGAATTGAACCTGCAACCTCTTGGTGCATGGGTCAGTGCTCAACCACCGAGCCACACCAGCTGAGCAGGTCTTTGACAACTTTTATTAGATGCATTCCTAGGTATCTAGATGGTTTTTTGGATGATATTTTTAAAAATATCCTAATTGTTTATTGCTTAGTCCATGCTAAATTTGTATATTAATTGTAATAGTTAGTTTGTTGATTGTTTTGGATTTTCTTTTCTTTTTTTTTTTAATCCTCACCCGAGGACATTTTTCCATTTTTTGCACAGATAGAGTGGGAGGGAGAGAGAGGAAGAGAGAGAGAGAGGGAAACATCGATGTGAAAGGGACACATCGAGTGGCTGCCACCCGCATGACCAACCAGGGCCGGGGACAAACTGCAACCGAGGTGCATGCCCTTAGCGAGAACCGAACCCGGGTCTCTCCGGACCGCAGGTGGATGCTCTAACCGCTGAGCCAAACTGGCCAGGGCTTGTTTTGGATTTTCTACACACACATCATGCCATCAGAAAATAATGACAGTTATACTTCATTTTCAATCTTTCATTTCTTTTTTAAAATTTTTATTTACTGATTTTAAAGAGTGGAAGGGGGAGAGAGGTGGAGATAGAGAGAGAGAGAGAGGAGAGAAGGGGGGGGGGACATCAATTTGTTGTTCCACTGACTAATGTGTCCATTGGTTGATTCTTGTGTGCCCTGACTGATTTGAACCCGAAACTTCGGTGTATCAGGACAATGCTCTAACCAAATGAGCTACCCAGCTAGGGTGTATCCTTTATTTCTTATTCTTGGTTTATTGCATTGCTGAGAACCCTCAGTGTAACCTTAAATAGAAGTGATAATAGTAGAAACATTATCTTATTCCTGAATTCAGGGAAATTATTTAATATTTCACCATTAATGAAAATGTTAGCTGTAGGGTTTTTGAAGCTATCCATTATCAAATTAAGGAAGTTTCTTTTTCAAGTTTTCTTTGAGTTTTTATCATGAACATGTCTTGTTTTTGTGTGTGTGTGTGTGTGTGTTTTTGTCAAAGCCTTTCTTTCCCATCTATTGAGAAAACCTTATTGTTTTATCCTTTATTTGTTTAGTGTGTTGAATTATATTATTGATTTTTTAATGTTAAGTCAACCTTGAATTCCTCAGATATATCCCATTTAGCATGATATATTATTCTTTCTATAAATCATTAGAATCTAATTTTTAATATTGTGTTTAGGATTTCTGCATCCTTGATCATGAGAGATAGTGGTCTGTAGTGCTCCTTTCTTGGAATGTCCATGTCAGTTTTTGGTATCTGAGATATGCATGGGTTTGGAAGTATTCCTTCTCTTCTGTTCTCTGGAAAAGACTGTGTAATGTAGGTATAACATTTTTCTTAAATGTTTGGAAAAATTTACCACTGAAGCCATCTCAGCCTGCAGTTTATTTTAGCTTTGTTCATGTCTGTATTATATATGTGATTTTCATTTCAGATTTCTGCTCATCTTTACTATTTTTTCTATATTTTTTTCGTTCAAATTGTTCTTGTTTTCTAGCTGCTTATTCTTTTAAGTGTTGAAAGCTATAATTTTCCCTCTAAGTGTGTTTAGTTGTATTCCACAAGTTTTTATGTCATTGCTGTTGGGTTTGAAATATTTTCTAATTTCCATTGTTATTTATTCTTTGACCCATAAGTTATTTAGAAATGTGCTGCTTAATTTCCAAACTACTGAGAATTTTCTAGTTAGGTTTTTTGTATTGATTTCTATGTAATCCCACTGTGGAATTGTCTATTCTCTTTTTAGTTTGGTCAACATTTAATATTTTTTAAAGCTATGTTTTTAGGTTCAAATAAATTTAAGATACCTCTCTTCTGTTTTGTTAACACATTATGACTATGAAATGTTCCTCTTTGTGCTAGTTGCCATGTGATTCAGGTCAGTGTTATATCAGGGAAAGAATCTATTCACCTCACTATTGTGTACATAATATACTATGTAAAGATGTGTACAAAAGAGGTTTCAAAGAATGCTGGTTGTTCATTACATCAGGCTACTGTTTTCAGTGAAAGAATGTGTTGACCCCAGTGAACATGGTGCATGTAAAACACTATGTAAGAGATGTTTCTGAGAGTGCTACTTCAAAAAGGAAATGTCTTGAAATTTTTCTTTTAAAGTGTACTTTGGGCCTGGCCAGTGTGGCTCAGTTGGTTTGGAGCATTGTCCCAACCAACAGATGTTTCTCTCTCTCCCTTCCATTCTCTCTCTCTCTTTAAAAAAATAAAAAAGTAAAGTGTTATTTGTCTGTTAATATTATTACATCAGCTTTCTTTCAGGTATATTTGTTCCAACCTTTAATTTCCCCCTTACCTGATATTATTATATTTAAACTGCATCTCTTGTAAATGGCATATTGTTGATCGATTTAAAAATACAGTCTGAGAACCCCTCACACCCTCTCCCAGTCACTAACCCCCACCTAGGGTAACCATTATTATTATTATTTTTTACTGTGCTGTCAATTTTTTTTTGAGCAAGATTACTTCTACAGTGTAAAACCATCAAAAGAGAACAGCCTCAAACTAAGGATTTACTTATTGAAAACCAAAACGATATAACCTTTTACAGAAACACAAAAACAAGTGTAGGTCCCCAACTGCAAGAGGCTCACAGACTTATGACTAATTCAAGAACAGAGCTCTGATAGAAACATGAATCCAGCGCTGCCAGAGCAAGGGAACGCTGGAGGAAGTGGAGAACGTTTTCACAGAAACCTAGGGCTTTAAAGGATGAGTAGGAGCTGGCTGCCAACAGTTGCAAAATGTACAAAGGCTAGTAAAAAAAAAAAAATTGTAAGCGAGCGCAAATGAAAAGGAAAATGAAAGCTCTTTAGGATACTAGTTTATGGGGCAGCCTGGTTACTGGTTAATTCTACCCGGTTTGGCTTCTGAGGCCGTCAATCAGAATGACGTCATTGTTGATCAAGTTACTGGGGTTGTGTGAATTTGCTACCTGTGCAATCAGGAAAAGGAAGTCTGGGGAAACTGCCTCTGGTTGCCCAGGAGGGGAAAGCCATGCAGCGCGCAGAGGCCGGAAAGCCTTTAATTAAATTCAACCACTGTAGGAAATACATCTACAGCTTCAGTGTGCCGCGATGCTGCCCCCTCTGCCGGCAGGATGTGGGCTCCAGGAAGCTGGAGGAAGCACCTGTTAGCATCTCCAATCCTTTTACCAATGGGCATCAAGAAAAATGTTCATTCCTCCTCAGACCAACTCAAGGGACGTTTCTTAGGTACAGTGTTTTTTGTGTTACATTGAATTGTGCAGACTTTCCTTCTGTGTTGTAGTCACTGAAAACATCTTTATAGTGTGAGTGATGTGTGGTGGATACTTCTTTCCAGTTTTTTCTTTGTTTTGGCATTAAATTCTAAAATCTAGGCTTGTTTGTTTTATTTATTTATTTTATCCTCACCCAAGGAGATTTTTCCATTTTTTGTTCAGGTAGAGTGGGAGGGAGAGAGAGGAACAGAGAGAGAAAGAAACATCTATGTGAAAGGGACACATCGAGTGGCTGCCACCCGCATGACCAACCAGGGCCGGGGACAAACTGCAACTGAGGTACGCGCCCTTAGTGGGAACCGAACCCGGGTCTCTCAGGACCGCAGGCTGATGCTCTAACTGCTGAGCCAAACCGGCCAGGGCGCTTGTTTGTTTTATAAAAATAGATGGTGTGCATACTTTCCTGGAGTGATAAGTGCAAGGTCAAACTTATACAATTTTAAGAGAGAAAAACCCACAGTTTGAAAGTTTTCTTTACCCATAAAGAATTTTGAGCTAAGAGGCTAATTGGGAAAATGACCCAGCAGCTAGTATTATCAACGTAATACTTTTATTGTGAGTTGGTTTGTAATTTCTATGACTAACAGGTACAATGTACAGAGCATGAAGAATGTCCACTTATAGACTATTTTGCATGGAGGTGAATTGAAGACTAGAGCTGGTCTATTTCAATTGCAGACACCACCTGACTTTAAGATTTCAGAAATAAAAAAAAAATGATTGTGACTCCTTAGAGTCCCTGTGGAATTTACAAATGAAATTGCAACTGACCCTGCAGGAGCCAGGTTGTAAGGGAGCAGGGGTGCTACTGAATGATGGCATGTGCTTTAGGAAGGGTATCCGGGCACATCATCCCGATCTAGTGCCCAGAACTCCTTGCCTCCTTGAAATCTACCCTCCCATCTCTCTCATGCCCTCAAGAGTGCTTGGGATGAGAAAATTAGAGTTGACTATTCACTTCCCTGCTAGTTAATTTTTTAATCAATTTCCTTCCCATCCCTATGAGGCAGAAACGAATCTAAGTGTGTAAAAGGTGCTGCACCAAACTTTTATAAATAAGAACCCCTCATTCATGCTAACTTGAATTCATTAACTGGTTGGATTCCAAAAGCTTTTGAATAAAGTAATTAAAATTTGAAATTTATTTGCTATAACAAGGCTCATTCAATAAATCCTGAGCAGCTGTGTGTGGGAAAGTCTAAGGATGTCATGGTGAATAGCCACATCCCTGCACTCAAGAAAAGACACATGGCAGGCTTTCAGGTTGGCCCCTAATAAGATTTACTTATTCTATGATGTGTTGGTGATACTGGCGGGCTTGGCTTCCCTGAGCATCGGCAGAAGTGAGTTGGTGGTGTTGAAACAAGTTATATGTTTTGGCATCCTCCCATCTCCTTAACCCCTCAGGTCAGGATCTACAGAGTCTTTAGCCTCCTGCCCACAAGACCCTCTAAGGCCAAGTTACAAACTATTTCCTTCCTTTTCATCTAGTTTCCAAACCCTTGGGACTGGCTCCCACAATTCACCTTGGGACAATTTTATCTACTTCATAAAAGAGAGCTATCAGTGACCCAAAGGAATCCCTGGGCCTCTGATCTAACTAGGTGAGGATCCCTCAGGGCTGCCACAAAGTTGTGCAGGTTGTAGACTGCACAAAGGCATCTGGCCAAGGCGGTGGTGAGCATTGAAACTCAGTATTCCACTCACCAAGCCAAGCACCTGGGCAGGGCTGCATCTGCAGGACAAGGGGCCCCTTCTCTTAATCTGTACAAAGGTGTCATGTAGGAGAGGGTGGCCCTGCCCCTGACCCATCATAGGCATCTGCAACTTTCTATATATTTTCCCCCTTCACAGCACTTACTAATCTATTAAAAAACTTGCTAGACTAAAACTAAAAAGTCTTCTCAGGAAGTGAGAAAACTCCGAGAGAGTGGAGACTTGGTCTATTTCCTGTGTGTCACTCGCTCTTCACTTCAAACAGCAGGCCCATTGTTGACACCTGATAAGCATCTGTTGCAAGACTAAAAAATAACTGAAGGAGCCTGGCTGGTATGGCTCAGTGGACTGAGCGTTGTCCCATGGACTGAGAGATCATGGTTTGATTCCCAGTCAGGGCACATGTCCAGGTTATGGGCTCAATCCCCAGTAGGGGGTGTGCAGGAGACAGCCGACCGATGTTTCTCTCTCACATACATATTTCTCTCTCTCCACCCCCTTCTAAAAAAAGCAATAAAAGCAAACAGACTGGCCCTGGCTAGTTTGGCTCAGTGGTTGGAGCATCGGCCTGTGGACCAGGGACTCTCGGGTTTGGTTCCCGCTAAGGGCATGTACCTCGGTTGCAGTTTGTTCCTGGTCCCGGTTGGGGTCATGTGGGTGGCAGCCACTCGATGTGTCTCTCTCTCTCTCTCTCTCCCTCCCACTCTGACTGAAGATGAATGCAAAAATGTCCTTGGGTGAGGATAAAAATAAAACAAAACAAAAAAACTAAAGAAATAATTGAAAGAAAGGAGGGACGAGGGGAGGACATGCTTAGGATTTAGGCAGGAAACCAAGTTCAGTGATGCACTCAGGGAATGAGCTTGGGGGAGAAAATATGGTGAATTCAGCGCTGTCATCAGCCAACCAAGACTGTTTGTTTTTCTCAGTTTCATTTTCAAACTCTGAACCCTTAGGGTCTCAAAAAAACTCAAAGTGGTTCCAACAAGATGACCTGGGGTGGAGATGAGGGGTGACTGCTCTGAAGAAGGTGGGGCAGCCATTTGTGTCCTTGATCATTTTAAAACCTGCAACTGTTTGCTTTAATGGGAAACCAAATATCCAGACCTGTGATCTGATAAAGGAGTTGGATCATTTAAAAATAACCTGATTTATTCAACACCTCTGTGGAGGCAGGCACTCAATAGACATTTTATTCACACGGTGAGCTCACTGGGAGGCTTATGATTTTCCCATTTTATAGATGAGGAAACAGATCAGAGAGAGTAAGTGACTTGCCCAATGTCCCAGGGCTAGTAAGTGATGGCCTGGGACTGCATATGAAGGTTAAATTATATGGACTTACACATCTAATGCCCAGTCTTCGGTAAATAATAATTTCAAGAAACAAGGGATGTGCAAGAGAAGTTGGTGTAGTCACAGGTGACAAGACGAAAATGAGCTATATTAGTTTTGAAGGTAGAGGTCCACTGAGATGCATTCAGGATCCTCTCGCCCACGTCTGCCTGAGGAACAGACTGTCGTCTCACATAAAAGGAGGAAAGAATAAGGAGCTCCTTCCACAACTGACCTCTGGTGAGCTCCTCTGCCAGGCGTTATGCTGACTTTCTGCTCTAGCAGGACAGGCCTTCTAGCACACTCACCTTTAGTATAGGGGGTGGGGTTTACAAAATTCAGATCAGGGGCAAGGGGAAATTTTAGATCTCTTTGAAATGGCTTTCACTAACCTGGATACTGATGGTAAGTCTGGCATCAGCCAAGAGAGGAGGCCTCTCACTCTCCCACTTTAAGTACCAATTCTTCATGCCAGACATATGCAAATGAGAAAAAAAAATATTTGTTTCTTTCAGGGAGTATGATGGAAATTCTGATCTTCATGTTGGAATAACCAACACAAATGGTAAGTGCATGTTCATTTAAAAAAAATTTTTTTTAGCTTAAAAATTCCCAAAGTATGCCCTGGCCGGCTTGGTTCAGTGGTTAGAGCATTGACCCACAGACCAATGAGTTGCGGGTTTGATTCTGGTCAAGGGCACGTACCTCAGTTGTGATTCATCTCCAGTCCCGGTTGGAGTTGTGTGGGAGGCAGCCACTTGATATGTCCCTTTCATGTCGAAGTTTTTCTCTCTCTCTCTTCTTCTCTCTCCCTCCCACTCTATTTGAACAAAAATGGAAAAATGTCCTCCGGTAAGGATGAAAAAAAAAATCCCCAAAGTACCCAGAGGACAGCAGTATTTCTAAAGAAAAAGTGATCATACAACATTTAATTAGTAATTCTTCTGTTCTCCGGGTTCTCCTACTGCACAATGAGGTGAGCAATGCTACCCCCCAAAATGAGAAGTACTTGACTTTACAGCAAGGTATTACTAACAATACTAAGTATTTAAAAGGTCTTTCTGGAGAGATTGAGTTGCCCAAGACCTCACCTTGTGTGGAACCAGAATCTGGACCGAGGCCCTCTGCTCCTCAGTCCTATACTCACTCAGCCCACTGCAGCTGGGCTCTCACACTCCAGGGTCTCCAGGAGTTAGGCAGGAACCTCATGGATCAGTCGGGATGTAACACCTGAGCAGGTGGTAGGCCTGCAGTGGTTTGCTTTAAAAAAAACAACCATAGCCCTGGCTGGTGCTCAGTGGTTAGAGCATCAGCCTGTGGACCTAAGGGTCATGGCTTCGATTCCCGATCAGGGGCACATACCTGGGTGCAGGTTTGATTTCCAGCCCCAGTTGGGGTTGTACGGGAGGCAACCAATCAATGTGTCTCTCACATTGATGTTTCTCTCTCTCTCATTCCCTCCCTCCCTTCTTCTCTAAAATCAATAAAGGAAAGAAAATTAAAAAACAAACAGAAACCATAATTAGCTTGGCCAGTTTGGCTCAGCAGTTACAGCGTTGGCACGAGGACCAAAGAGTTGAGGATTTGATTCTGGCCAAGGGCACGTACGTTGGTTGCGGTCCTCCCTGGCCCTGATTGGGGTCGTACAGAAGGCAGCCAATCGATGTGTCTCTCTCACATGGATGTTTCTCTCTCTATCTCTCTCTCCCCCCTCCTACTCTATCTGAAGATATTTGAAAAAATATCCTTGGGTGAGGATTTAAAACAAAACCATAATTTTAAAAAACATGTTTATGTATTCATTTATTTATTTTTAAAGGCAATTTTGGAGAATCAATCACAAGAACATGTAAAGCTTTTCTTCTGTTGTTGTTAATCCTTACCTGAGAATATTTTTCTATTTATTTTTAAATAGAATGAAGGGAGGGAGGGAGGGTGAGGAGAGAAACATCAATGTGAGAGAGACACATTGATTAGTTGCCTCCTGCATGACCCTGAGCAGGGCCCAGGATTGAAACTGCACCCCAGATACAAGCCCTTGACTGGGAATGGAACCCGGGATCCTTCCTTCTGAGGGCTGACACTCTAACCACTGAGCCAAACTGGCCAGGGTAAGAAGCACACTTCAATAAAACAGTTCCTACATCAAAACTACAACTAAACTACAGAACAAACATCCTTCAGAACCGCCTGATATCTAGCTGAATAGAGGTCCTACAACTATAAAATTAAAGAAGAAGCCACATCGAGACTGGTAGGAGGGGTGACAGTGCAGCGTGTGGTGGATAAAGATCAGGAAGGCTACCTCAGCTGTGAAGGTCCTCCCTGAGGAGCAAGGGGTCCCCATCCCACACCAGGCCCCCAGCTCAGGGATCTGGTGCCAGGAAGAGAAGTCCCCAGGACTTCTGGCTGTAAAAACCAGCAGGAACTGAGGCTGAGGGCGGCTGAGGCTGCCGGAGCCCCGGACAATTCCTCTTAAAAGGCCTGCACACGCACAGACTTACTCAGACCCACTCCCTCTGAGCTCCAGCATGGAGGGGAGGCAGCTTGAAAGGCACCGGAGACATAGGGGGAAGAACTGAGTTGTTCGGTATTGGGGTGAGAGCTAGAGAGACAGCTTTCTCCCGGACAGATGTGCTGGTGGAGGCCTTTGCTCCTTTGGTGAGCCCTTCCCCTGGCAGGTGGGCACCATATCTGGGACTCCAGCAACCTGGCTCACACTGTTTGCCCTGCCCTGATGATTCCCTGAGGCCCTGCCCCACCCAAGCTGTCTCCAGTGACTTTACCATAGAATTGGCCTGTTTTGGCTCCTGCTTCAGATTTTCATAAATTCTCTCAAACAAGCAGCACTGGCCATAGCGAGCCCCATACCTCTCGCTAAGTGGCCCCAGGCCTGGCACTAGAAGCAGCCAGCCTTGGTTCACAGCTTGGCTTTGCCTGGGCACCTCCAAGCCCAGCACAAGAAACAGCCATCTGCAGGTCACTTTGTAGCTTATGCCTGGTGGTCCCGGGTAGAACACAGGCAGTGGCTGACCTTACCCCAGAGCCAGCACACCCAGTGGACAGCTTCAGACCACGTTGAAACACCACCACCCAATCACCTCTGTAAGTGACACACTTAAGGACTAGACTCAGTGGGTACCAGAAGTAAGTCTTGCTCTGTGTGTTGGGTCCCTGCACAGCTGATCATCCAAGGTAGTCAGAGGTCAGTGGGCAGTGGGAACAGCCAGTCCTTGCAGCTGATCATCCTGAGTAAAACCTTCCCATTGACATGCCAACAGCAATCAAGACTCAATTACAACAGAAAGGTATAAAGTCCACATGATGGGTGCAACTTGAGGGCCTAGCTGGGTGACCAGGGAGGCTGTGCCACTGGACCCTTCAGGACACCTTCTACAACAAGCCACCCTCAGAAGCCTAGAAGACACAGCAACTCTACCTAATACACAGAAGCAAACACAGGAACGAAGCCAAAGTCAGGAGACAAAGAAACATGTCCCAAATGAAAGACCAGAACAAAACTCCAGGAAAAGAACTAAATGAAACAGAGATAAGCAATCTAACAGAAGCAGAGTTTGAAACACTGCTTATAAGGATACTCAATAAACTTAGTGAGAATTTCAAGGAACTTCATGAGGACCTCAAGAGCATAAAAAAAGGACCTGTCAGAAATGAAGGATGCACTAACTGAAATAAAGAATAATTTACAGGAAATCAGTAGTAGAGTAATTGAAGCCAAGAAGCAAACCATTGATTTGGAATATAAGGAAGCAAAAAACACCCAATCTGAACAGCAAAAAGAAAAAACAACCCTCCAAAAATGGGGATAGTACAAGGAGCCTGTGAGACAACTTCAAGTTACTAACATTTGTATCATGGGGGTGCCAGAAGAAAAGAGAGAGAGTAAGAAATTGAAAACCTATTTGAAAAAATAATGACAGAGAACTTCCCTAACTTGGTAAAGGAATCAGACATACAAGTCCAGGAAGCACAGAGAGTTCCAAACAAGATGAACCCAAAGAACACACATCATCATCAAAATGCAAAAGGTTCAAGACAAAGAGAAAATCTTAAAAGCAGTAAGAGAAAAGCAGTTACCTACAGTGGAGCTCCCATAAGGCTGTCAGCTGATTTCTTAAAAGAAACTTTGCAGGCCAGAAGGGAATGGCAAGAAATATTTAAAGTGATGAAAAGCAAGGACCTACAGCCAAGATTACTCTATCCTGGAAAGCTTTCATTTAGAATTGATGGCCATATAAAGAGTTTCCCAGACAAGAAAAAGCTAAAGGAGTCATCACCACCAAACATTATATGAAATGTTGATGGGTCTTCTTGAAGAAGGTAAAAAATTTGAACAATAAAATGGCAATAAATACATATCTATCAACAATCGAATCTACAAACAAAATGAGCAAGCAGAACAGAAACAGACACATAGATACATAGAACTTTTTGTTGGTTGCCAGATGGGAGGGGTGATAGGTGAAAAAGATGAAAGTATTAAGAAGTACAAATTGGTTGTTAGACTGACAAACCTCAAAGGGAAGTGGGGAGGTGGGGTGGGAAGAGAGAAACCAAAGAACTTATATGCATATGTGCATAACTAATAGACACAGATGATAGAGTGGGGAAGGCAGGAGCCGGGTAGGAGAGAGGAGGAGGGGGTCAAGGGGGGGGGGGAAGAAGGGACATCTGTAAAACATTCAACAATAAAGATAAGTTAATAAACATAAATAAATAAAACAGTTCCTTTGGCCAGATTTAGCTCTGAGGGCACGGAGTCTGCAACCCCCGAACCCCGAACATCCTTGTCTGCAGGAAAAGGGCTTGGGTAAGCCACTTGCAGGAGCTGCAGGCTTGGAATGGTGAGCAAGGCCAGCCAGGTAAGACATTGCTCACTTCCTTGAGGCAGGAGAAACTGACACTGTGAACAGAAATCTGGGACTAGGTTTTTGAACTCAGAGTTACCCACAAGAACAGTAAAATTTACCACTAATCTGATCGCTGGAAATTTATTGCTGATTTAAGGAAACAAAATAGGCCCATTTTTAAAAATATTATTTTAAATTTTGGTTAATCCTCACCCGAGGTTATTTTTCCATTGATTTTTAGATAGAATGGATGGGGGGAGGGGGGGAGCAGGGGGGAAGGGCATCCATGTGAGAGAGACCCACTGATTGGCTGCCTCCTGCAAGACCCCAACCGGAGGAGCCGGGGATTGAACCTGCAACTCAGGTATGTGCCCTTGACTGGTAATTGAACCCTCTACCCCTCGGTCTGCAGGCTGATGCTCAACTGCTGAGCCAAACCAGCCAGGGCCAAAATAGGCCCATTTGTAAATAGAGAACTTCAACAAAAATATTTGGAGATGATTATCCTGATGCCTATTATTGTCTCTGTTTCCTGGGGGTGACTTCAGAGTGCTGAAGAGCAGGGAACAAGAACTGGGTTTTCCTGAAGGAATTGCTTTGCAGAGAGCAGGAGAGGCACGGCCGCAAGACCCTTTCTAAATCTAAGTGGGCGGCTGCCTCCTGAACTTGATCCTGGAGGAAGGCGGTTCTAGAGCCTCTCATGGCCTATTGGTAACTGGCAATAATTAGAAAGTGCAACCTGGGTTTCTGATATGTAAAGTTACCATAGTGGCTGCTGCCATTTTTCTGACATCCCCTTTTCACAGAGGTGCATTTTCCCTCAAGCTTCAGCATGACTGACTCTGGTTTTGGTTGTAGGAGTTGTCTATAATTACACCATTCACGGTGTCCAGCGAGACGAGGCAGGCTGGGAGCAGAGTATAAGTATCCCATTATTGCAGCCTGGCATGTTTGGACTGATGGACCAGTGGGACAAATACCTGGAAGACTTCTCCATCACAGGGGCCTGGCTGCCTCACAGGTACAAGGCTGCAAAGACCACCTGCTCCCTGGCTCTCATTGGCCACACAAGTATGATCTCAACTCACAGAGGACTCTTAAGCCGCATTTAGTGGAGCCCATACCAAGACAGTAATAGCATCTGTAACAGAATCAAACGTTGATTTACTTTGGGGTTTCTGCAGAGGTTAGTCAGCACACATTACATAATAGAATCAGAGCATTTTAAGAACCGAAAGGACCAGAACTTAGAACTCTAGTTATTGGACTAGGTATTTTTACATATTTAATATTTTAAAATAACATGTACAGCAAAAGCCATGATAGTATATTCCCTAAAACAAGCAAAAAAAAATTTAAATAATAAAAATTTATAAATATTTTAAGGTCCTTTTGTTTTTGGCAATTTTGAAATTAATTTCTCAATTCCTTGGTCTCTTAACACTTTAGATATACAGCATACTTGTCAACTTAAAATGTTTTCAGGCTACCCTTGAAATGAATTTAGACACTGTGAAATATCCTAAAATGTAAGATATGAAATCCTGCTCCTAGAATCTAGAATTTCAGTGAAATTAAGTTCCCCCAAATTTATATGCACCTTCACTTACCACTCTGAACATTTAGTCGAGTCCCATCTGTACTTGAGTTGCAATCAGAAACAGCCCAAGGTGCCAAGTGTCCCTGCACAGGCTGGGGCCCAGCTGGCTGGGGGAGCCCAGCTTCCATTATGAAAGGCCTTCAGCAGCTTCACAGCTTGTTCCTGGGCAGCTTTTAAAGCTAAGGCTTCTCTTCTCCATGTCCTTGTTTTGAAGGTATGAAGAAAACTGCCACAACTGTTACAGTTACACCCTTACATTTATTAACTGCATTCTGACCACTGAAGGTAAGGAGCAACTGGACAAGTATGAGTTCACGGAGAAATTCGTGGTCCCAAGGACCAGGAAGGCTTCTAAGTACATCACACTTTACCGGGCAATAGAAGAGCGTGGCTTCTACGTGATCGACCACCCGGGCCAAGAGCCAAGCCCTCCTCCAGGAAGTGGTTTGTGCTGAGAGTGCTGTGTAAGTGCAGAAGGGACAGGACATTTGAGGGGGAGGGGTGTTACTACTATTAATAGATAATAACGATTCTGAAATACATTAAATTGTGGTTAATTTTGAAAAAGTGATAGGGCTTTCCTTTAAGCATACTTCAGCTTACTGCAGTATAAGAATTTCCAAAATTAATAAAAATTGCCCTGGGTTTTCAAAATTCTTGTCATAGCATTTCGGTTTTCAAACTGAGAATCCATGTTAAAGCATAAAGTGACAACATCTTTTATTCCCAGAACAATGAAAACTCTTCCTATAAATTAAGTAGAGCTAAGTAGATTCACCTTTCAATGTGAATCCAGAAGACGGGGAATTTGTAAGAAGGTGAGCAGATATCTGCAATTTATGAAGTAATGAATATTTTCACCTCAGTGTTTTTCTTTAAAAAGCACGGGATAGCCCTGGCCAATTTCGGCCTGTGGACCAGAGACTCCTGGGTTCGGTTCCCGCTAGGGGCATGTACAAAAAAAAAAGCATGGGATACATCTTGATGGTCAACAACAGGGGGAAAAAAGAAAAAGAAAACAAAAAAGAGACAGTCTTATCATCTAAATTAGGAAGCGGGCATTCCTGAATTAGCCTTTCTAATCCATATGTACAAACTGGACTGGCAGTTCCTCAAAAGAGGAACACCAGTTGGTTTCCGTCTCATTTCGACTGACCTGGCCTGAGGAGATGGAGGGGCTGGGTTTACTATAGCACCTTCTCTTCCCACTTTCAATGCAGACTTCAGAAAGGACCCAGTGAAGGCTTGTATTGTTTCTCTAATACTCAGAAGAAGAAAGGGAAAAGCTGGGATGAGCAACTACAAGGTGATCTTAACAAGCATGTTAGAATTTGTATACCCAAATAACCATGGAACTTTAAACAGAATCATCAAAACATTTCGGAATTCCTCTTTGGAACCTGCTTCCAGAAATCACTGTTTTTGACCAAATGTGATATACTACTCCATCTCATCTTATTCCCCAGCCGGCACCAAGTGATGTCTCACTTCTTTTTTTAATTATTTTTTTCCCTTTACTGCTTTTAGAGAGAGAGGAAGTGAGAGGGAGAGAGAGGTAGAAACATCGATGAGAGAGAACATCGATTGGCCACCTCCTGCATGCACCCCGCTGGGGATCAGGCCCTCAACCTGGGCATGTGCTCTGACCGGGAATCGAACCGGCGACCTGTTGGGGCATGGGTTGTTGCTCAACCACTGAGCCACACTGGCTGGGCATGCTACTGGCATCATTTTACAGACAAAAAGGAAAACTGAGGAATGACTTGCCTGAAGTCACACAGTGGCAAAACCAGGGTTTAAAGATGTTTGACTACAAAGTCCATGCACTTAACTCCTGGGCCACCTGGTAACCTGAAAAAGATCAGTGGCACCTAGCATGTGCAGCAATAGAGTCAGAAATTGTCGCATTAGAGAATATAAAGAAGAAAATAAGGACTTTGCTTTCATCAACATTCAAATACAAAGAGGAAGAAAATAATATATCATAAAACAATTCAGATAAAATAAGAATTGTTAACATTAGGAATGCCCATTTCATGCTGCTTTCTCTTAGTGCTGCATCCCTTGCTTTTCAAAGCCTCAACAGTCCCCATTCCCTATTTTAGGGGCTGCTCTTCAAACTGGAGGTGACACTGGCAGTAATCGACCTATTATTTCTGCACTTCAGCAGGTTATAAATTCCCTACTCATAAAATCACTATCACCTTCCAGGTTTTACCCCTAATAAAGGAAATTAAGCACCTAATAACACCAATAGATGGCAATATTGCTCTGTTTTTTAGAATTATAAACTGAGAATCCAACTGTTTCATTTATCATACTGGCCAAGTGCTAACTGAAAGACGAGGAGATTCAGCATTGGCACCAGCTCTGCTTCCCAGATGAAGTCTCAGAGTTCTCCCTGGCATCTCCTCAAACGCACTTCATCTCAGCACTTAACACTGCCCAGTGCACACAAGTGGTTTCCATCAGTGTTCATGGAATGGTTCTCAACCTGTGGGTCGTGACCCCTTTGGGGGTCAATGACCCTTTCACAGGCATCTCCTAAGACATAACAGTAGCACAATTACAGTTATGAAGTAACAACAAAAATAATTTTATGGTTGGGGTTCACTACAACGTGAAGAACTGTATTAAAGGGTTGTGGCATTAGGAAGGTTGAGAACCACTGCTCTGTGGTGTGCATGGATTACTATTATAACTAGTAAACTCCCCTAAAACAATACTTTTTAAAAACCCCACAATGGCCATATCTAGCTTCCTTTGTTTGGGAGGTGCCTACTACCTCATCTCCCCCGATCTTCAGAGCTGTCTTCATGACTTGACCTCAGACTATTTTTCTGTCACTTCCTTCTCCATTGTGTTACCTACCAGGGCATAAACTAGGCTTTTGCAATCCCTAGAGAAAATGGTTATGGCAATGCTTACACTTTTGGTTTACCTGAAAGGGAAAAAAGTATACCCACCATGTGCCAGATCCTTTCATATGTCATCTCATTTAGTCTGCAAAACAAACTCAGCAGGTAATGATCATCCCCATTTCACAGCCGAGGAAACTGAGGCTCAGAGTGATCAGGCAACGTTCCCAAGGTTGCCGCTGTTTTTTTTCCTAGGCTAGACTTGGAGTTTGGACCAAGTTTTCCTGATTCCACTGTTTCTCTTCTACTCAGAATGTACATTTACGTTAGAAGGAAGATCTACCTTTGCAATACTGTTTCAGAATATGTAAACATTCCCAAAACTTTAAATACTTAAGGCTTTTCACTTACAAGAAGTTAGATCGAATTGCTTTGAAATAAAAAATGTTGCCTCTTAGTTTAACAATTTCACAAATGTGCTTTTTCATATCATGTGCCCTTAAAAAATTTTTTTTTCTTTATTGATTTTAGAGAGAGAGGAAGGGAAAGGGAGAGAGAGATAGAAACATCGATGAGAGAGAACATTGATTGGCCGCCTCCTGCATGCCCCCCACTGGGGATTGGGCCCACAACCTGGGCATGTGCCCTGACTAGGAATGGAACCAGTGACCTCTTGGTGCATGGGTAGACGCTCAACCACTGAGACACACTGGCCGGGCTCATATCATGTACTCTTAAGTGAGACATTCCTATATTTCACAAAATGGTAACAAGACTTAAATTTTTTTTTCAGCATGTGTGTGTGTGTGTATGTGTATCTCAAAGATTAATCTAAAATGATGGGTTTAAATATTTCTCAATCAATTTTAGAAACAGGCCTGTTATAGTTTTAAGGAAGTTAACATTCATGGGATAATTATTTGAGTCTGTAATCAGATTTTTAAAAATTCATTTTGGTTGGTAAAATCACAAATGGAAGGTGGGTGGTGGGGAGGAGAGATACTTCATTTCTTTTTAACCCAAGTATTCCCCTACAAGGGGAAAACTAGGTTAAAAACCACATTCAAGTAAATGATAGCTTTAAAAAAAATGAAAATGAAAATGCTCTAACTATAAAGGCAAAATAATTATGACAAAATAAAAACTAATCAATAAGTAACAATAAGTAACAAGGAATTTTCAGACTAGTATACTATGCTCAAAATCATAGGGAAACCTAACCTAACCAACTGCCTAAAACCATTTCCTATTCATGTTGATTTAATCCCTACAAAGTGTCACGTTTGACCCGATTACCTTATAGAAGTGAATCGCTGTATGAGAGAACTCAGGACAGTAAAGGCACAGATGTCACCATTTCCCCCTCACAGTTTGGGGTTGAGGTCAGGAAACGTTAGCCTCTAAAACTGAAGCTAAGAGAATCAACATACAATAATCAATTGCACAAGTAATAACTGCCTTAATAAATGACAGGTAACTGGTTCTTAGGACCCGAGTGCTTCCTCCTTCCCCCATAATGAATCATCAGAGCTGGCAATTACTAAAAGTACTCTATAAGCCAGGCACTGTGCTAACAAGCACCTTGTAAGGACCAGCCCACATAATCTTCCAGCAACCCTCTGGGGTTGATAACATTTTTTTTGTTTAATTGAGATTCATATTACATTAACCTATTTTAAAGCAAAAAACTCAGTGGCATTTAGTACAATGTTGTGCAATGACTTCTATTGAGTTCCAGATCATTTCATCACCCCGAAAGGTGACTCTGTACCCACTAAGCAGTTGCTCCTCAGTCCTCCCTCCCCACTATCCCTAGTAACCACCAGTCTGTGTTCTGTATCGATTTACCTATTGGGGGTATATAATTGGAATCAAACAATATGTGACATTTTGTGTCTGGCTTCTTTCACTTGGCATGTTTTCCAGATTCATCCCTCTTGTAGCTTGTCAATACTTGTTTTTGTGTGCGGCTGAATAGCATTCCATTGAATGTGTACATTGATAACATTAAGATCATTTGATAGATGAGGGAAACGGAGGTTAAGATTGCATAGCTAGTAAGTGGTTGAGATGAAAATCTGGGTCTGACTTCAGACCTAGGAGCTCTTAGCCCTCCAGCCAATGCCAGAGAGACCAAGGGATTGTTGAAACTTAATACCAAAACTAGTCATAAATAGTTCAAAAATCCTGAAAACTGTAAGCTATGGACTCTAACCTGAGAAGGCAGTGCCTTAAAGGAAGGGCAAGTCCACGGTTCGAGAACCACACACGGGTCCCCCGCTGCTCCCTGGGCTGGTCCAGCACTTCCAACAGGGACTGCCTGATTCTGGCCGCAGAATCAGCTAAAGGGAACTCACTCACTCCAGGGACAAACAGCCCTTGCCACACAGAAGGCCCTCTACAAAGTCCTCTCACCTCTCTGCTTGCTGTGCACCCAGTGTTTGCATTTGTTATCAGATGAGCCGAACTCCCACAAACACATTTCAGTTCTCAACCCAGATATAGCTTTGAACATGGACACTGTGTCTTCTCAGTCTCTTGCCACTTTCGTGGGTTTGAGTCACTCCTTCCAGGGAGGGAGGGGAAACTCCTTGAGTCAGGTGTTTTTTGAGTTCTCCTTTATCCATATAACCACAATGAAGTAAATATTATCATTGGCCCCATTTTGGAAGTATGAAAACTGAAGCTCATAAAGGGTAAGTTGCCTAAGGTCACATAACCATTGAGAGGCAGAGCTGAGATCTAAATGGGTCCTTTCTAGAAGGCTCATTCCACTACCTAGCCTTCAATAAAATTATCTCCAGGGAAACTAATTGAAAGCTAAGAACCACACATTGCTCCCAGGTTCTTAACCTTGGATCCACAGATGGTCCTCATGGACTCTGTGAACCTCTTGAAGATGTATGCAAAATTACATGCACAAGCAGGTTCCTGGTGAGAGAGATCTCAGGCTGCACCTCAAGCTTTTTTTTTTTTTTAATCCTCACTGGAGGATATTTTTCCATTGACTTTTTAGAGAGAATGGAAGGGAAGGAGGGAGAATGAGAGAGAAAGAGGGAGAAACATTGATGTGAGAGACACATCAACTGGTTGCCTCCCACACACACCCCGACTAGGGCCAGGGATTGAACATGCAACCCAGATACGTGCCCTTGACTGGGAATCGATCCTGAGACTCTTCAGTGTGCAGGCCGATGCTCTAACCACTGAGAAACACAAAGCTAGGGCAAGCACCTCAACTTTCAAAGTGGGGGACCACCACTCAACTGTGCCAGCACAGATCTAGCCCTGCCTGGAGTGGAGGGCAGCCTTCCCCTTTAACCTCCAACTGGACAAGCCCTACTGGGGCTGTATTTCTGACTTCACAGGGTTTTCTAGGCCGGTGTCACTTCAGCTGTGGAGATCAAGTAAAGGCACTGAATGCAGGGGCTCTCAGGCCCAGTCCTCCACTTGCACTTCTGATGATGGCCATATCTGAGCCTGAAACCTTCCTCCCATGGAGGGTCCCACCGCCTGAACTCAAAAGGCTGTTGTGGGATAAACAAGAACATGGGTGTCTGCCCCATCTCAACATCCACTATCTGAATATTTACTGTAACAATTTGCAAAAAATGTTACCCTGTATTGGTTATCCAAATAAAAAACAACAAATATGTAAGCATCTGCAGCAAAATCATTCAAGCTGTGTCTGGACCAGAAAGGACACAGCACACGCTGCTGTCTTAGATAACCGATGCTTGCGCTGTTTGGACATGTGGTCTATTAATTTCCCGACTTTATTAAGGAAAAATCTGTTACAGAAGTGGGAAGCCTGTGAATAAAGTAGGTTTTAGAGGCCTAGGACATACTAGAAACAAAGTTGGAAGTAATAGTATACCGAGAAAAGTGATCCTATAAAAGACAGAATCCTGGCCAAGGTTTCCGTCTTTTTTTGTATGGTTTTTTGCACTAGGCTGACAGATTATAACTTGTGAAAAATGTTTCCACAAAGTTTCACCGTGTGCTATTTTTAGTGAAATCCTTGTGCAGCTGGTCAGCCTGATGCCATCTGAATACATGCTGGTATAGTGGGTGGCTTTGAATACGTTGCAGAACTGGGAAGTGATGGAGGAGAGAGGATTTGGTGAAGGATTTCAGTTTTAAAGCAAGTCTGGAAGGTTTGAGAGACTTAAGAACTATGTAAGCCTGATGCTTGAGGGGTGTGGGTGAAGTAACCTGCTCTCAGAGAGGCAGTAAGCATTTCCCCCAGTGAAATGCAGATTCTCCTGAAGGTGGTTTTATCACAGAGTAGATTTCTCAATAAATTTGAGCTCTTTTGCAAAACAAATGCCATCTGGTATATTTATTTCAGAAGGTAAGAAAAGTGCCAGGACTTAATACTTCCCAAGATAAGTTAATACTGCTTTCAGCTGGAAACTGTGAGGGAGATGTAAACCAAAACCTTTGCTGGTGTACCATTCCAGAAGTCCCAGGGCCCACAGGCAGTGCTGGAGTGTGTGGTTTACTGCATGGTGTTCAAACTTACACTCAAAGATCCTCCATACAAGTCTTCTTTGATTAAAGATGCTTTGGACATTCTTCTAGAGCTTTCAGTTATAATATCTGTGTGGTCTTTTGGCTTCTCTACATCTTTACTGTAGCCTTTATACCAAGGAGTCACCACAACCCTCCATGCACATTAGCTGATGACAAAGTATCTGAGGTAGTGTTGATAGGAGGACCGAACTTGCGTGAAGGATTCATGGAAGAGTTTTTACTGTAAAGGCATTTGATGCACTGATTAGACTTGGAAAAGAAGTGTCACTACAAATGAAATAGGAAATAGGAAAGAAATGCCTCCTGGCCCTGGCCAGTTTGGCTCAGCGGTTAGAGCGTTGGCCTGCGGTCCAGAGAGACCCAGGTTCGGTTCCCGCTAAGGGCATGTACCTCGGTTGCAATTTGTCCCCGGCCCTGGTTGGGTCGTGTGGGTGGCAACCACTCGATGTGTCCCTTTCACGTCGATGTTTCTCTCTCTGTCTCTCTCCCTCCCACTCTATCTGAACAAAATATCAAAAAATGTCCTCGGGTGAGGACTAAAAAAAAAGAAAAGAAAAAGAAATGCCTCCTGGAATTTTTTGCCAACATTAAAGGTTTTGAGAATGTGATGATTCAAGGCAAAGTCTTTCATTTAGCTTAGGAGCCTGGAGTAAGCAAAGTAAACAGTAAAAATGTTGAAGAACTATTAGCCTCACTAACGAAGACCAAAGAACTTACTAAGAAGCTCTTTCAAATTGATGGTCATTATTGGTCTGAGGCAGGGGAGGAAAGGGAGCTCCTTTATTTGAATGCCAAATCTTTAAAGTGTAGAGCATGAAGACATGATGATTTTGTTGCGAGAGAGCAGGATTATGACGTGAACAGAAGCACCTCAGCAAAACAGAATTATAGGCAGAATCTTAGGCTGTCAGGAGCTCTAAGATCAAGCATCGAGGGAAGGCAAACAAATGCCCACTTTGGTTTGTTTTCATCTCAGCTTCGATCTACTCTGTAGATGTTAACCATCTACTCTGGAGTATTTAGTGCCAAGGACAGGACTGTCTGCTAGTGTCATGAGTTTGGACAGCAGATGAATCTCAGACGATCGTTCCTTCACCCCTATACTGGCTCTGTCTTGCTCATTCCCTCCAGCCCATACCCTTTTCTTGCCTCCAAATACCACTCCTCAGGCAACTCTTCATTGGGATCTAACCAATTTAGAAAAGGCTTTGTTTACTGTGTTTACTAAATGTTAATTGCACTCATTATGTATCTCCACACATTATTTCATCACCTATTTTTACTTTGCAACAAGTTCACTGAAGCACGGTGCAGTTTTTATCTAATGCTGCATAATACTGTTGTGTATACTACACAAATTAGCCCACCAATTAGGTCACTGACCAACAATTAGTCAATTATTGATACAGAAATCCTTGTTAAATATTAAATGGATTGTTATGTGCTTGAGTAATTGGTTGAAGTTCTTGGACAAGCAGAGACACATTATTTTTCCACTTAAAATAATGGAACATAGCATCCTGCAACCCCCAAATCTGCTTTCCAGCACTCTTTCAGGAACAGATTGGATGTGGGGAACAAGGGATGCCTGTGTATAAAAGTCGGTATACTCCTTGGTATAAAGTGCTGCTTTGGGAACTGTAGAGTGCCACATAAATGTAAACTATTATCATTTTCAGGTAACATCAGAGTGAAACAGAATTTCCCTGCTGCGGGACTCATCTTCTTGGGACCTGAGTATCCAAACTCCTCACTGAATAGAAGCTGAAGTCCCAGCACGGGGCTCTTCTTCTCCACTGTGTAATTTATCTTTTAAACCACTAACAGTTTTCTGGCTCTTTAAAACTTTTAAATTAATGGCCAATTACAATAAAAGGACTCTTTATCTCGCCCTGAACTTGGCTTATATTCACCAATAAATATTTGTTGGTGAAATCAGAAATCTGAGGTTGAATTGTTAAAGTTCATCTTGGTCACTCCTCTCTCGTGAAGAAACCCAGCGGCTCAGAATCACCTCCTGTAACCAATCAAAACAAAACAGGCAAATGAATTTCAAAAAACAGAAACGAGAGAACATGCTAGGCATTGCAGCTACATTTCACAAAAAGCTGTCTATATAATGAGGATACCTGTTCCCATTCCTTGCACCTGAACATTTGGAAGAAATGTGAATGTAGCAATATAAACCTTACATGAAAACAGTATCTATCATAACCATGCAAAGATTTTGAAAGCTAAACTTGCCTCAGCTGTGGTATTCTACCAGCACTACACAGGGCTAGGAGTGCTGGCACAAATGCTCGAATTGAACATCAAAACCAAGTCTAGGACGGCGCTGCTATGTCCAGGTCAGCCCTGAGAGGGCAGAGTGGGTCTGGATTGGCATTTTATGAAAAGCTACCCTAGTGCAGATGGCAGGACAAATTGACAAACTGAGGGGAGGAGGTGCTGGGGCCCTCAAGCAGGTCTGCAGTGGGATGGGGCAGGGAGACAAGGAAGCGCACGATGCAGGAGAAAAACAATGAGGTGTTGGCTGTCAGGGCAGGGTCAAAGACAGGGCGAGGGATGGAAACAGTGAACACTGGGTGACTGGCAGCCCTGGCAGGGAAACTCAGCTCAACACAGAGTCCCAGAAGCCAGACGAGAAGTTCAAGGAAGGAATGTCAACAGTGACACTTGTCGTCTCTGGGAATGAGACCGAGGAGAGGGCCTGGCCTGGCCAGGAGGTCCTAGGCCATCTGTGAGAGCAGTTTCAGCTGAGAGGTGAGGACAGAAACCAGGTCACATCACAGGTAAGGAAGTAGCAGGAATTAAGGGGGAGTGGGAGTGGGTTTAAGCAGGAAAGACTTTCTTTACCAAGGCAAGATGGATTTCATTTGTTATCTTGGGAGCACATGTTCAAGAGGACAAAATATAATGGACAGAATCTTTGGGAGGACATGAATGATCTGAGTTTACGTACCTGAACTTTAATTCTTTTCATACATTCTGGTGACTCCATTTCTTTGTCAGTCATGGTAGAGGGTTTAATCAAATAACACAGCATGAGTTCCTATTGAGAAATGAAAAACAATCTCCATATCCCCAAACATAATAGTACAAATCTGAGTTATCACCAGGAAACGCAGGCAGTCTCCATTCCTGCTCACTGTGCTCCTGGAAACATAACACAGCACATCAGTGTCCTCCTGGGAACACCAGAGCTGGGCTCACATTCCAGACTAAGGACCTGCCTTTTAGACATTGTTGGAATATCAAGAGAATGCAAATAAAGTAGACATACTGGTTATAAACATATCATTGAAAATATTAAATATATGTTATAAGTCTCAAAAAGTGGGCATAAAAACACTAAAAACAGTATAGACTCCTTATTTCTATAGGACAAAGCTACTTTTTAAAAAAAATTAATAATTTTCCTTTATTGATTTGAGAGAGAGGAAGGAAGAGGGAGAGAGAGATAAAAACATCAATGAAGAGAGAACATCAATTGGCCACCTCCTGCATGCTCTGCACTGGGGATTTGACCCACAACCTAGGCATGTGACCTAAGCAGGAATTGAACCATCAACCTCTTGGTGCATGGGTCAATGCTCAACCACTGAGCCACACCAGCTGGGTAGACAAAGCTACTTTGTTGTTGTTGTTAATCCTCACCCAAGATATTTTTCCCATTGACCTTTTGTTTTTCAGACAGAGTGGGAAGGGAAGGAAGGGGGACAGGGGAAGGAGAAGGATGGAAGGAGAGAGGGAGGGAGGGAGGGAGGGAGGGAGAAAGACAGACATGAGAGAGACACATTGATTGCCTGCCTCCTACACATGTCCCGATCGGGGCTGGGGATTGAGTGTGCAACCTAGGTATGTGCCCTTGACTGGGAATCAAACCCATGACCCTTCGGTGTGTGGGCCAACTCTCCAACCACTGAGCCTAACCAGGACTAAAGACAGCTGTCACCTGGCCCTTCTGGACTTTACAGTCTCAGCTCCCACCACACCTCCAGCAGCAGTGGGACAGAGTGGGAGGGGACCTACAATTCATTTTAGTTAGCAAATTACTGCATTACAGAGAACACACAAAGATTTCATCCTTTATAGTCCTGGTGACTTCCCTCTTTTATTTTAATCCTCACCCAAGGAAATTTTTCCATTTTTCATCTTTAGATACAGTAGGAGTGGGAGAGAGAGAGGGAGAGAGACAGAGAGAAAGAAAGAAACATCAGTGTGAGAGAGACACATCGACTGGTCGCCTCCCGCATGACCCTGACCAGGGCTGGGGACTGAACTGCAACCGAGGCACGTACCCTTGACCGTAATTGAACCACTAAGTCAAACCGGCCAGGGGTTCTCTCCTATCTTGATGGCAGCAGGAAACAACATAGCCAGGCAGTAAGCTGGCTCTGGGTTCGAATACCAGTTCTGCATCTGAGCTACATGATCATGGGTTTCTCACTCAACATCTCTGACCCTTCAATTCCACACTCTTAGGATAAGGTAATAGACAAGTGGTGAGAAAACATGTAAAGTGTTTAACAATAAATATTAATTCCCTTCCTGCCTTTTCAAGGGAGCTGTGAACTTTGAAAAGAAATGTCTATGTTCAGACTCCTTTGTGAATGTGTAGGTGAATTTTGAGTGTGCACTGGCTGTGCTTACCAAGGGCACCCCAGAGAAGAAAGGCAATGCCCACCGACACCAATCACTACAGCAAATTTTGAAGCTCAGTTCCTGGAGTTCAGAACCAGTTGGTCGTGGGAGGGAACATGGGGGAAGGAAAACTTCTAGCCCAATCTCCCAGAACTTCACTGGTAGAAACACTTTGAAGTTTCTAGAAATGACTGTTCTATTTCAATTACATTTAAGAAAAAAAAATTCCAACCATTTAAGTGACAGGTAATACCAGAGTTGATGTTGTTACCTTGGAAACATTCACCGAAACTCTGCTCAAGGTAGCCAGGGACTTCCAACTGAAAGGTCTTCGAAGAGAGCCCTCAAAATGGTCATCAACTAACTCAATAATGACAGAGTAACTGAAAAACACATAAAGGGTGTTTTAAAAATAAAAAACATAAAATCAATCCATTAAAAAAGAATAGCTTGTCCTACCAAGAACAAAGATACAGAAAAAATAAATATACAGCATCTGATCCTAAATTCCCCTAGACCGCTACTGAGAAAATATTAATGAAAAAAACATGCACATGCCCTGGCCAGTTTGGCTCAGCGGTTGGAGCATTGGCCTGTGGACCAGAGGGTTCTGGGTTCAGTTCCCGCTAGGAGCACGTACCACAAAAACAAAACAAAACAAAAACCATACACTTTATGCTATAGACTGATTTCAATACATATACCAAAAAAAAGAGAAATACTTCTCCCAATATAAAAGCTGAGACTTCACTCAACCATTTAGATACTAATACCGACTGATATTAAGATGAACAATTACTACATAAATTAACTCAATGGTTAACACTAAAGGACAGATTATCATAATCTATTTATTATTTTATATACAGTATAACAACATTGGTGTATAAGGCACAGACATACAGTATTTATCTTTATCAGGCCAACAGGAGTGTGATTGTTTCTGTGGGACTGAAAATTAAAGTGGAGGCCAAAAATTTCATGTCCCTTTCAGCCATTAATTTATTTTAAAATCACTCCAAACCTTGCATGGTAAAATGGAGGTCCTTTCCGATACAGCACTGCAAATTAAAAGAAAGAAAATGTGTAACCACTGAAATAAAAATCTGTATTATTACTTAAAAGTTTTTCTTCTCCACAGAGACATAAACACTCAATTATCTGTAAGTGGTAATCTGCAATATGGCCCTGTAGTCTATTTTTAAAACCCAAACTGTTCATCCCTCAGAATGAAATGCAATTAGTAAAGCAAATCTGTTGCCGAGACCCGAACATCCTCCTCCCACCCTCACCCCACAAATGAGTTCCAAAGTCAAATACTCTTGTCTTGCCGCTTATCTTACACTCTCTGGCGTGAGAGCCTGAAAGTGTATCAAGAATGTGGTTTGCCCCTGGCCAGTGTGGCTCGGCGGCTAGAGCATGGGCCCCAAGCACCAAAGGGTTGCAGGCTCAATCCTTGGTCCTGGTCGGGCGAGTGTGGGAGGCAACCAATCAGTGTGTCTCTCTCGCATGGATGTCTCTCTTCCCTCCCTCCCTTCCCCTCTTAAGAATTAATGGAAAAAATATCGAGTGAAGATTAACAAAAAAAAAGAAAAAAAAGAATGTGAAGTTTGTATAAAGTGGATGAACATTTTGTTATTCATGTCCAGTCAATAAAATTCAAAGTGTCTGAGCTATTCTGGCCAGGTACTGACTTAGGTGTTGGTGCCATAGAGGAACAAGGCTCATGTCTATTTTTAAGAAATTTAAAGTCAAGTGGGGGAAAAGCAATCACATAACCATACCACTCAGAGATGGGTCTGCCCTACTACAGTAGCACCCTCATGCATGAAGGATATGTTCCAAGACCCCCAGTGGATGCCTGAAACTGTGGATAGTACCAAACCCCTATATACATGTTTTTTTCTTACACATACATGCCCATGTTACAGTTTAACTTATAAATTACACACAGTAAGAGACTAATGACAATAACTAATAATAAAATAGAAGCATTATAATGGCTTTAGGCCATTATTAAGGTAAAACAAGTGTTACCTGAACGCAAGCACTGAGATATCCCAACAGCTGATCTGATAACCTAGACAGCTACTAAGTGACTAACGGATGGGGACTGTCTACAGCGTGGAGACGCTGGACAAAGGGATGATTCACACCTTGGGTGGGAGGCAGCAGGACACCGAGAGATTTCATCGCGCTACTCAGAAGGATGCACACATTGTTTATTTCTGGAATTTTCCATTTAATATTTTCAGACTGCCATTGACCACATGTGACTGAAACCAAGAAAAGTGAAAAGCCAGATAATGGGGACTGCTGGTAATTCAACTTGTGGAGGTCAAGAGCTGCTGCCGAAAGCATGGGGCCAGGGACTCTGCCACCTGGTCCTTGGAACTGCACAGGGAACCCTTTGGAGGCACAGTCTGTGAAACGGAGGCGAACACCACACACCTCACAGGAGCATAAAGATTAAGTAAGATGAGAGCAGAAAAGCCCTGAGGCAAGGTGCCTGGTCACCAAAGGAGCCAGCAGCCACGGGAGCTTTTGGGAGGGAAAATAAAGAAAGGCTCCCGTCCTAGCTGGTTTGGCTCAGTGGTTAGAGTGTCGGCCTGTGGTCCAGAGAGACCCGAGTTCGGTTCCCGCTAAGGGCATGTACCTCGGTTGCAGTTTATCCCCGGCCCTGGTTGGGTCGTGCGGGTGGCAGCCACTCGATGTGTCCCTTTCACGTCGATGTTTCTCTCTCTCTCCCTCCCACTCTATCTGAACAAAAAATGAAAAAAATGTCCTCAGGTGAGGATTAAAAAAAAGGCTCCCCCTTGGTTTCTAGTCTCCTTTTTAACAGTCAGTGATCAAGGTCAACAAACTCTGCAGCTGCACTTGATTTGAGATCCCTATCACTGGTTCCAAATACTGCTCCTGGAATGAAATTTGATTGACAAGATTTATTCAAGGAAGAGTTTCCCTGATAAGATGTGGATTTCATAACGGCCCTTTGTCATGAGTCATTAGCTCTGTAAGCAGAAACAACTGTTAAGAGAATGTCCTGGATTTAACCCGTGTTGGCAGTTCTAAGGTATCTGTGATTAGGTCACTAGCCTTCAAAACTAAAATAATACTGTTAAAAACCAGTGGCACTGAGCAGCTGTGTCTGAGAAGGGGGAAAGTTTAGGAAGCCATTCCTTCCATCTCAGGCTAGCACTGCTCATGAACCCCTGCTAAAGCAGGACCTGGGAAGACACACCCCATGTGGCTGCTGGGCCAGAGGCCTGGTCCCACATTAATTATACAAGCAGCTCCAAGAGCATGATATGCCCCAGCTGTGGCAAAGGCCTCTGGGGAGTTGGGAAATAGCAGTTGATTTCTTTTCTTTTTAGAAAATCTGCTTGTCCATTCTTTCATTCATCCTTGTAAGGCAGTTTATTTTTAAATTAGAAAAGTTCTCTACTCAACAGCCACAAATATGGCTTAAGTATAGAAAATACATAAAGTATGTATAAGATATGCTTAGAAAACACTTAACAGAGGCCCCATTCCCCTGTAACTCATTTTTAAAAATAAAGATGTTTTATAAAGGAGGTATTGTTTTCCATGTTATATGATGAGCAAACAAAAGCTCAGAGAGATGAAGAAACTTGACTGAGGTCACACACACCACACACCTCACAGGAGTATAAAGATTAAATAAGCAGCAGCCCTGGCTGGTTTGGCTCAGTGGTTAGAGCGTTGGCCTGCGGTCCAGAAAGACCTGGGTTCGGTTCCCGGTAAGGGCACGCACCTCAGTTGCAGTTTGTCCCCGGCCCTGGTTGGGGTCGTGTGGGTGGCAACCAAATGATGTCTCTCTCACATTGAGGTTTCTCTCTCTCTCTTCCTCTATCTGAAGATGAATGCAAAAAAATGTCCTCGAGTGAGGATAAAACAAAAAGAAAGAAGAAGAGCCGGCTGTGAACCCAAAGAGTGCTCTTTCCATCACCCCATGCCATCTTTCTTTTTTTAAAAGATGTTCTTATTGAGTTTTAGAGAGAGAGGAAAGGGGAGGGAGAGAGAAACATTGATGGGAGAGAGAAATACCAATAAGAGAAACATGGATCTTGCCTCCCGGAATTGAGCCTGAAACCTGTGCATGTACCCTAACTGGGAATTGAACAAGGGACCTTTCAGTGTACAGGATGACACTCCAAACAACTGAGCCACACTGGCCAGGGCTCCCCATGCCACCTCTTAATGTGTCATTGCAGCCTTTTCCACTGGAAAGTCTACTCAAATTTCACCCATATAATGAGAAAGTTGGAGAAGACCAGCCAAACATTTGCACTGAGTGGCTACTCTTTTTGTATTTTTTTTTTTAATTCTCACTTGAGGATATGTTTTTATTGGTTTTAGAGAGAGGAAGAGAGGAAGAGAGGAAGAGAGGAAGAGAGAAACATCAATGTGAGAGAGAAACATCGAATGGTTGCCTCTTGTACATATCCCAAATAGGGATCGAACCTGACTGGGCATTGAACCTGTGACCTTCCAGTGTACAGGATGATGCTCCAACCAGCTGAGCCACCTGACCAGGGCCTGAATGGCTATTCTTACAGGAACACAAAAAGGAGAACAGGGCAGGAAGCCAATGAAGAACAATGAAACAGGCACATCACTTATTTAAGCAACGTGACCTGTGGCCAACACAATTATCTAGAAACCTAGCAAACTAATCTCAAGCTAATCCTGATCATTTCAGTGGTAACTCGGAGTTAGGATACTTGTACCTGAAATCCAGGCATGGAAGAAATGGAATAAACCATTTATCTTAGAGAGATGGGTGATCCCTAACCTTAATTTTTTTATTGTTGGCCCCCTTTGAGAATGTCACAAAAGTTATGAACTCTTGACGCAGAAAAAAACACCAATCTACAAACACAGTGTTGTGAGTAAAATTTCAGGGGCTACAGGCGGCCTCCTGAAGACCATCCTATGAGTCTAGGTTAAGCATTTAACTTTAGAGCATTTACAGATTTAAAAGATTGAATTGGCTTTCTTTGAGCACTTAAAAAGGCTCAAAAACATGGAACAAGTATGTGACAGAGCTCAAAAGACCTCAAGGGCCATGACTTCTCAAAGGCCCCTCAAATACCTTGAAATTTTTGTTTCTACCTCAGTAACAATTCTGGAAAGTATCCAGGAAGCACCTTCACTTGGCAGATGAGGAAAGGGACTTTCAATTAGCAGAATAACATCCAAAGTCTCTGCCAGGCCCCACGTGATCTGGCCCCAGCCGAATGCTCAGACATTACCTCATGTCACTCTTCCCTGAATCTCTAAGTTCCAGACACACTGTCTTTCTGTTTTTCCTGAGACCTGCGAGCTTATTCCTGCCTCGGAGACTCTGCACCTCCTGTTCACTTTATCTAGAGTGTTCTTCCCCAAATTCTCAAGTGGCATGCTCCCTCACTGTGATGACATATTTTCAGAGTGCTTTGCTGACCACCTTTACTAACTTCCTGTACTCTCTACCCCTTTACTCTGCTCTATTTTTCTTATAGTCCTTACCAGCACCTGAAATTACATTATGTATTTATTTGCTTGCTTGTTTGTCTCCTTCTCCAGAAAGTAAGTTGCTCCAGCAAGGCAGCTTTGTGTTTGTCTTATTCACCTCTGTATTCTTGGTACCTAAAAAGACCTGGCCCACAGGAGACCCTCATAATTCTCTGTGGAATGAAGTGCTCACCTGGCTCAGACTCCTCACTTTAAGATCAGTGAGGGAAGAACTGTGTAGACGTTCCTAAGAGTCTAGGCTCCAAAATTCAAAGTCCAGCTCTGTCAGTTACTGGCCCTGAAAACTGTTAGGGGCAAATGACCCTTTCTCCCAAAACTGTAATCTCCCTCTCAGAAAAGTGAGGGTAACAAGTATCCATTGCACAGGATTGCTATAAAGATTAATGAGATAATGAATGTAAAACACTTAGCAGAATGCTTGGCACATACTAAATGCTCAATAAATGAGAGCTGTAATTATTATTATAGTGATTACTTTTCATTGCCAGATGAGGCAACTGAGGCCCAGAGGACAAGGGACTGCCCTGTATCACACGATCACATGGCTAATGAGAGGTGGGGGTGGGGAGGGCTACAGAACTCTTTTCTAAGATTACAGAGCAGACAAGAGGAAAAGCCTGACTTGGGACTTCAAGCTTCTACTCCTGGGCTTTCTCCTAGATTGCCTTTTCCCTCATTCTGGACACACCCTAGACCCAATCCAAATATCCAATAATCTAGGCCAGAGGGAAGAACCTTTTAGAAAAGATGAGCAATAGCACACATAACCAAATCTGATTTTCATCCTAGGATCTGAGGCAAACCCTGGTTCTCACACCTACCAAGCCACGAATTACTTACGTAAATCTGTTCCGTACTTAAGTCCCACTTTGGGCACCCAGCCCTTGCTTCGGAAGTAATGGTACGCCATGTAGGTAGTCCTGAATGTGGGCTGAACTACGGTGAAAACTTTCCAGAGTTTCACAATCGTTAAAGGCTCCTAAAGTTATTGAACAAAAACAGGCATTATTGTGTACATATGTACTCATTCATCCTTCAGCCCGTGAATCAACATCTGTGAGTGTGAAGCTGAAGCAGTGAATGAAACAAACACAGCACCCATCACAGAGGAATTTAACTAGAAGATTTAGACCCGTGCTGTCCAATGACATGCCTGAACACAGATGTGCTGCAAGTGTCAGTACACACGGAATTTCAAAAGCTTAACATAAAAACAAAAACAAACTATCTCAATAATTTTGGATATAGTGGATTAAATAAACTATGTAATACATTATATATTAAACTCACCTGACTTTTTTAAAAAAACCTTTTTAATATGGCGACCAGAAAATTTTAGATTATACACGTGGCTCCTGTCTGAGGCTCCCATTACATTTCCAGTGGACAGCACTGCTCTCAAGGACTTGGGAGAGGCTGCCCAAGACAGTGACATTCAAGATGAGAAGGAAGTAGCCAAGTGAAAGGGGTGGTGGAGGGTCCAGGAAGAGGTGGTGCTGGTGGCTGAGAAGAATATTCCAGGCAGAGGAAGGAGTGCATGCTGGGTGCTCTAATGGAACAAGCCCATAAGGGCAGCATGTTAAAAAAAGACCCTAAAGAGTAGCTACTGTATGTTAGGCCATGCTCAGAAAAGCCACAAATAATTTTGTAAAAGCTTTAAAAAAATGCTCCATTTTGTTTTTGAAACTGGAGAATTTGTAATTAATAATCCAACTGCTTATGAGAGAACTTTGTTTCTAATACAGGACTTGAAGAGACAGAATGGTACAGTTCAGAGAACATTCTGAAGTATCAATACAAATACAACAGAAACTAGATAGGTTTGGCAAGTTTTTTGCTTCATTTCAGTGCTTAGTAAAATGGCCAATTCTTCAGTTGGTTTAGGGTTCAGTCACTCGTAAAGATTTGCTCAGTTGGCTCAGATGAAGATTTTAATACCATAAATATGAGTTAGAACTGTGTCTTTTTTGTTTGTCCTATTACTTTTCTGGAGTTGTTCCTAAGGTGGAAGCTCCATGTGTGTGTGGCCTTCAAATCCCACTGCGAGGAAACACTCAACCCCTCCTCTGAGAAGCAAGTCTGGTAGAGAACACTGAACTTCCAAACTGAATAGCCCACCATGTTTCAGATGTTGAGGCTTCTATGTAGCAGCTGGAATGTTCCGACAAATTTCAGCTAAGGCCCAGGAGAGGAGGCAGGGTGGGCTAAGAATGGCCACCATCTGGAAAAGTGAGTCACTCATCAGCCAGACACCCATTTCCAAACCAATAGAATACTTGTGAAAAAGATTTATATAATTAGAATCTGATGAATGATAAAATTATGTGCTTCCAAGAACAGAATAAAATATGCTTTCCTTGGTCTATTTACTGTTCTGCTTATATTTTTCTTTTTAATTTTAATTTCTTTTTAATATTTTGAATATGTATTATAATCACATGGTTCAAAATTTAAAAAGTACAGAAAGTGTACAGTGGAAAGCCTCCCACCCATCTGTGTACCAGCCCTCCACTTTCTCTACCAGAAGGCGAGCAATGGCATCGACTTCTATGGGACGACCTTTCTTCTAAGGGAAGCAGGCTACTGTACAAAATCTTGGGCTTTGGAGCTACCTTGACCTTGAGTGAGTTATTTAATTTCTCTGAACCTCAGTTATCTATGAAATTCTTACCGGATGGAAGTAAGGATTAGAAATAGTGCAGGTAAAGCACCTTATACACAGCCTGAAGTAGTGCTAAACACTGGAAGCTTTTATTTTTATTGTTAATTTTTAGTACTGTCCTCACATAGATTTCCTGGCCATTATGTAAGATATTGCTCATCTCCAGCACCTCTGGAAATAAAATACAATCTAAAAGGGTCAAGGCTCGCTTTTGCCTGAACAGTTCCAATTCAGGACCCAAAGCTGAACTTAGGGAAGAAGTCACTTCCTATTTTATGTAGTGAAATTGTATTGAAACAATTTAAATTACTACAACGCTTCTAACATCAGAAAAATTTAAAGTTAATTATATCTAAATGAAACATCTTACCTTTTCATAGTAAATACTTAGACATCCCAGAGCATAGACCAGGAAGAAGGCCTAAATCAGAACAAGCAGAAAATGTTCGTTCACATTGCTGAAAAATTATGTTACAGACTGATATATTTTACCCTCAAATACAAATTCATGTACTTGAATCATCAAAATGGTCCACATATTTTTAACAGAAACAGTTCATATAATTTTCAAGGATTAGCCCTGGCCGGTTTGGCTCAGTGGTTAGAGCATCGGCCCACGGACCCAGAGTATAATGGGTTTGATTCCGGTCAAGGGCATGTACCTCAGTTGTAGTTTGGCCCCAGCCCTGGTCAGGGTCATGCGGGATGCAACCAATAGATGTGTCTCTCTCTCTCACTTCAATGTTTTTTTTTTCTCTCTCTCTCCCTCCCTCCCACTCTGCCTGAAGATAAATGTAAACAAATAAATAATCTAAGAAAATATGAATGTCACAAACTGGTTTAAAATGAAAAGTACCCACTCTCGCCAATTTTACTCAACATTGTACTGGAAGTCCTAGCCAGAGCAATTAGGCAAGAAAAAAAAATAAAAGTCACCTAAATTGAAAAAGAAGAGGTAAAACTGTCACTATTTGCAGATGACATGATATATATAGAAAACCCTAAAGAATTTACCAAAAAAATTCCCACAAAAAAACGATTAAAATAAATAAATTCAGCTAAGTTGTAAGATATAAAATACATATAAAGAAATCTGATGAGTTTCTAGACACAAATAAAGAACTATCGAAAAGAGAAATTTTAAAAAGCAATCTCATTTACAATTGTATCAAAAAGAATAAAATACCCAGAATACATTTAACTATGGAGGTGACTTGGTAAATGTTGACAGATATAATCCACATAATAATGTACCTTGGAATCCTTGATAATTTTTCTTTTCTTTTTTTATCCTTACCCGAGGACATTTTTCCATTTTCTGTTCAGATAGAGTGGGAAGGAAAGAGAGGAAGAAAGAGAGAGAGAAAAACATCGACGTGAAAGGGACACATCGAGTGGCCGCCACCCACGCGACCCAACCAGGGCCAGGGATAAACTGTAACCGAGGCACATGCCCTTAGCGGGAACCAAACCAGGGTCTCTCTGGACTGCAGGCCGACGCTCTAACCGCTGAGCCAAACCGGCTAGGACGGAATCCTTGATAATTTTTAAGAGAACAAAGTGGCTTGAGAACTACAACTTTAGTATTACCCAGATCCAAATCTGGAGCTTCTCTGAAGATAAAGGTGGTTGCTTGCTGGTCCCAGTCACCAGCCATCACTTCCTGCCTGGACAAGGCTTCTCTGCTCTTACTTAGTCCCTTGCAGTCCCTTCTCCACAGGAGCCAGAGCCCTCTTCTTAAAACATGAAGGTGTGGCTCTCATGACTAAAATCCTCCAAAGGGCTTTATTGCATTCTTGCTTCCCACTATCCACAACCCCTCCATGTCTGACCACCAGTCTCTCTAGTTGTCTTGGCTTCACTTCTGTCTCACGAACACACTAAATTCATCTCTGCCTTTTAACTGCTATTCCCACATCTGGCATAATCTTCCCCAGACTCAAAGGTCACTTCTCAGAGCCATCTTCCCCAACCACATGGTTTAAGTAACCCCATCCTGATTGTTTTCTTCAAAAGATCATTTATTTTTGTCTGAAAATAGCCTTCTTATATGTGTTTCTACAAATAGAATGCAAGCTCTGTGAGAGCAGAAAGGTCTAGAAAGGGGTCTAGCACACTGTGGATGCTCAATGCTTGTGCTGAAAGAATGAAGAAAGAAGTCTCTGGATCCTGCCCTTGATTTAGGCCCAAACTGCCAGAGCCACTAACAGCAGGTCCGGCTTTTTCAGATCCTTTCTCCTCAGCATGGACTCTACATCCTATTTCCTCTTCCAGCTGCTGGTGACAGCCTTCCCAGGTGTCCCACAGTCTTATTTTCACCTTTTCCCTGCCCATGGCCCAATACTTATTAATACAGAATTTTTTTTTCTCAGAGGGACACCAATGGTGGCCAAAAGGTATAATGGCAAAGACAAAATTGGTTCCTCAAACAGCCACCTCCTTTTTCCCTTTCATTCTCTCACTTCGTGGTTCAGAACGGTTAACAGGAGGAATGAACTTTGAGATATGACAAATCTGGGATGGAATCTTCATTAATGGCCAGGGCCTTGGAAGTCTCAATTAAACTCTATCACCTCACCTATAAAATGGGAATGATAATGCCCTCTTAAAGATTTAATGAGATTAAGTCCCGTAAAGATTTAAAAGGCTATGCAAAGCACCTAAGTCCTCAATTCATTTTAGTTTCCCAACCTTTCTAAAAACCATTTAGATACTATAGCCTGGAAAAGTTCAATCCAATTTTTTCTTAGCAAGAAATTCCTTCCTGGTATATGTCAGAAGTTAAGTTCTTCAGAAAATTTCCATTATTAGCAAATATATATTTCCCTAAGAACTGATGAAACCAATGCCTCATTTTAATTGTTCTAAAATGGCTTTTGTTAATCAACACAAACTGTTCTGAGGCACTTATTACAGATGAAGAGGATCTTAATTCAACTGAGCTGGTTTTATTTAGAATTAAATCATCAGTAGAGTGGGGAGGTCTGTGGAGGCTGGCAGTTATGTCCCTTGAGATCTCATTAATAAGTTTTTGCTTTAATAGTACTAATAAGATAGAGGGATGAGTTTAACAATTATTTTAATGTCATATTACTAAATCTACTTAGGGCCCAAATCATTATAACAGAAAAATAGTTGTCAGTAACAGATCTTTGAGGAGCAGATCTTTACTTTTTTTTTTAATCCTCCCTCGAGGATATTTTCACATTAATCTTCGGATAGAGCTGGAGGGAGAGAGGCAAGAAGAGAGAAACATCGACTGGCTGCCACCTGCACAACCCCAACCAGGGCCGGGGACAAACCGCAACCGAGGTACATGCCCTTAGCTGGAACTGAACCCAGGACTCTTTGGTCCGCGGGTGACGCTCTTACCGCTGAGCCATACTGGCCACAGCGAGGAGCAGATCTTTAAATCAGCTGTGGTATTTAAATCACCATTCCCAGTCCCTAAAAAGAACTGCTTTGAGTCACCACAGCTTGTGTTCCTGACATTTACAGAAATACATTCAACTGTACAGTGGTGCATCAAACATGAGGGATTCTTTCAGAGGAAATCTGCCGAACAGAACTGAGAGCACAGCCAGGTTTAACTGCGTGCTCCTTGAACACTCCTGCAATACATCTCTGGAATGTTCCCAGGAGCCAAGCCGCTTCCAAGACTGCAGCACAATCTCATCTGCTATCTCCTACTACTCTTGCCTTGGGAGGAGTGCTTGGGAGGAGGCTTTTTGTCATTAAAAGTATTAACTGGTCACCCACCTGGAACAGTAAGATTGAACCCCCATTTCTAACAAATTTCTGATACTCTCTCCAGGCCCACTGCTGCTGCCTACTGGAGGTGAGAGGCCCTCCAGCCCACATTCACAGATGCCAGCTCTGGTTCCTGCCACGGCCCTACATCACTGCCTGCAATGCCCCGGTGCCACCACGACCAGGTCAGACCACTACTCGCAGATACGTCCGCCAGTCTAGCCCTCCTGTGCTGTCACTTCCAGCACTGAGCTGCATGAGAGAGCCCACGCTGCCCCTGTGTCCATCTGGCAATAGCACCATCTGCAGATATCACCAACTCTATAACATCTTTCCAGCTAGCATGTGTCCCTTTAAACTCCACCAGTTTCTGGGCAAATTTCATACCTCGTACACATCCATTTAACAAATCATTATTAAGCTACTAATAGATGTCAGGCATTGGGTACAAAGACAAAAGAGGAGCAACACTGGGACAATATATATATATATATATTGTGCTCATCATGCTGAACTGGAATTATTTCGGGGCTATCTTTAGCACCAGAGCCATATTCTCTTTACTTCTGTATTATTAGTACTTAGCCCAGTGCCTGGCACATAGTAAATACCCAGCGGATATTTTGGCAAAATACTGATTGCATACACCTGAAATTGAAGAAAAAGAAAGAAAATACATACAGAATACATGATATCACTATATGTTATACAGAGGAGACTGCATTTTATTTTATTTTAATTAATTAATTTTTAGAGAGAGAGAGAAAAAGGGAAAGAGAGAGAGAGAAACATCAATGTGAGAGAGAAACATCGATTGGCTGCCTCCTGCACACCCTTCACCAAGGATCAAGCCTGCAACCTGGGCATATGCCATGACCAGGAATTGAACGAGGACCTCTCAGTCCAGGGGACAACGCTCAATCCACTGAGCCACACCGGCCAGGCCAGGAGACTGCATTTTAAAATGAACCATTTTTGTCTGGCGGGTGTGGCTCGGTGGTTGAGCGTCAACTCATGCACCAAAGAGGTTGCCGGTTTGATTCCTGGCCAGGACACACGCCCAGGTTATGGGCCCGATCTCCAGTGAGGGGCATGCAGGAGACAGCCAACTGATGTTCTCTCTTATCTATGTTTCTATCTCTCTCTCCCTCTCCCTTCTTCTCTAAAATCAATAAAGGAAAAATAAATAAATAAATAAAATAAACCTTTTTTTTTTTTTTTTTATCCTCACCCGAGGACATTTTTCCATCTTTTGTACAGACAGAGTGGGAGGGAGAGAGAGGAAGAGAGAGAGGGAAACATCGATGTGAAAGGGACACATTGAGTGGCTGCCACCCGCACGACCAACCAGGGCCGGGGACAAACTGCAACCGAAGTACGTGCCCTTAGCGGGAACCGAACCCGGGTCTCTCCGGACCGCAAGCAGATGCTCCAACTGCTGAGCCAAACCGGCCAGGGCTAAAATAAACCATTTTCTTACAAATTTCCCAGATTCACATTTGTTGGATTCATACTTTTAAAAAATAATTTTTTATTAATGTAATATTGCATGCCAACTTAAATTTTAAAAAAATACTGATTGTGCCCTGGCTGGTGTGGCTCAGTTAGTTGGAGCATCGTCCCATGCACTGAAGGGCCTCAGGTTCAATTCCTAGTCAGGGCACATACCCAGGCTGCAGGTTCGATTCTTGGCTGGGGTGCGTATGGGAGGCAACTTATTGATGTTTCTCTCTCCCCCTCCCTCTCCCTCTAAAATCAGTAAAAACATATCCTCGGGTGAGGATTAAAAAAAACAACAACAATGATTGTGAAAGAGAGTTCCAATTAGCTACTAAATCGCTTTTACAAGTAACTTAATAATGATGATAATGACAAGAATAGCAAGTACAAACACTTATTGAGCACTTACTATATACTAGGCACTGTTCTGAACCCCATTACATGTATGATTTAATCCAGAACATCTTATAATTAAGGTGTTATATAACCCTTATTTTAGAGAGGTCAAGCACTAGAGAACGGGTATCCACAGTGCTGTCCTATAGAACTTTCTGTGACGATGGGAATGTTCCACACACGTGCTGTTCAATACAGTAGCCATAATCACATATGGTTGTTGAGTGTTTTAAATGTCACTGGCACAAGAAAGAAATAGAATTTTGTTGATGTTCAATTTTAATTAGTTTAAATTAAATAGCCACATGCAGCTAGTGGCCACTGTACCCAATAGTAGACTAATCTGTCTAATTTGTAAAATGAGATGAAGTCAACAATCCAAACATCCTTTCCTACTCTGAAAGTCTATTCTTTGTTCCACTGGCTTCACTGCAAGGAAGGAAGCACTGAAGGAGATAAAGAGACTATGGGGGCACAACTACTTCTCCGAACACATCTGTGTAATTACTCATGTGGATGCATGGAACAAGCACTCCTTGACCCCTACATATACATCAAGAGCTGTGCTAGGTATTGCAGAAGCCATCCAGGACAGGCAGGGGCGCTCCTGGAGCGGAGGTATACCATGGACATGAGACTGAGGAAGGGCTGCTATTTTCAATGGCAGAAAGGACATTTCTGTGCACAGTATAAATATAAGCAAAAAAGGAAGGACTAAATGTCATGTGAACACAGGCTAGAGGAACTCCAAATCTGAGGAAAAACATGATGCAGTTGTTAGAAAGCTACTCTTTTAGTCAACTTTTGAGAAAGCAGCTGTCGTCTTAAATAGAGAGCACATATTAATAATTCCGCAGAAGGAAATACCTAGAGTGCCTTTAATAATTAGCAATCTTTACATAACTTGAAGCACGCATCACAGCTTATTAGAAGTTGGTGAAACTCCACAAATACACTAAAAACCACTGAACTGTACACTGTAAATAAGTGGGTATGGTATGTGAACTCTATCTCAATAAACTATTTTTTTTGGGACCTGGTAAAAATTAGTAACATAATATTTGGCCAATATGAAATCTTGATAAAAAGAAGTGCTTAGCCCTGGCCGGGTAGCTCAGTTGGTTAGAGCATTGTCCCAATATGGCAAGGTTTTGGGTTCAATCCCTGGTCAGGGCACATACAAGAATCAACCAATCTGCCCTGGCTGGTTTGGCTCAGCGGTTAGAGTATCGGCCTGTGGTCCAGAGAGACCAGGGTTCGGTTCCCGCTAAGGGCACATACCTCAGTTGCAGTTTGTCCCTGGCCCTGGTTGGGTCGTGTGGGTGGCAACCACTCGATGTGTCCCTTTCACATCGATGTTTCTCTCTCTCTCCCCCCTTCCCACTCTATCTGAACAAATAATGGAAAAATGTCCTCAGGTAAGAATTAAAAAAAACAAAAACCAACCAATTAATGCATAAATAAATGGAACACAAATTGATGTTTCTCTCTCTCTCAAATTAAAAAAAAAAGAAGTGTTTAGACAAACCTTTGTGGAAGGATAAAGAGAAGGCCCTCAAAATGCACATCTTCGAATTGATGAAATGAAGGCTAAGCAGTGAAAGTTAGGCAGGCTACTTTGGAAGTTGCCTAGGATGATCTCAATACTTAATTGTGATACTCAATTACTGAATACTCTCTTACTGAATTACATACGGAACTGCATTTTGAGGTAGACTCATCTATACAGTGTTGCCCAGTCCCAGAGACCAATAGCTGAAAAGGAAACAGGCTGGAAACATACCTCTTCTAGGCTGAGTTGCAAATACTCAAAGATCCTATATGGATTTCTTCTACATATTAATCTCTCCTTTTGTGCCAACTAAAGAGAAAGAAAGAAAATACACACAGAACAAATGGGAGCACTACATGTTATACAGAAGAGACATCATTTTAAAATGAACAACTTTCTTACAAATTCCCAAATTCACATGTGTTGGATTCACATTGTTAAAACATAACTTTTTACTACTTATATGGAAAATGTTTTTTCTACTACTATTTTGCCTTTCTTTTTGCCCCATGCATACTTCCTGTAATGATCATTTGTTTGATTTTATGTACCCTTTTTCACTATACCTCACGAGCATGTACCTAGGTTCTTAATGAGATGTTGTAAATCTCACTCAGAAGGCTAGATAATATTTCTTCGAGTGGGTGTTTCACATACTTCTTAATCATTAGATTGCTGCTCATTTTTAGCTATTACAGATAATTCTAGGGCAACTCTGACAGGGCATCCCTTAATGAAGTGGCTTTTAATCTGCTTCCCAGGGCTTCCCTTGTGATGGCTGACTTCCCCACTTGAGACCCGTCCCTCGGCTATACTCAAGACTATATGCAATCACCACTGCATTTCTTTTTCTTTTAAAAAAACATTTTTTTTTCTTTACTGGTTTTTTAGAGAGAGGAAGGGAGAGGGAGAGAGAGACAGAAACATCGATGAGACAGAACACTGACTGGCCGCCTCCTGCATGCCCCACACTGGGGATCAGGCCTACAACCCGGGCATGTGCCCTGACCGGGAATCGAACCAGTGACCTCTTGGTGCATGGGTAGATGCTCAACCACTGAGCCACACCGACCGGACACCACTGCATTTCTTTTTCCCCCAAACAAGGGAGTATTATTGGACCTGATTTAATTCACAAATATTTTAAAAGTTAAGTTATTCACAAACTTTAAGGTTTTAGTTGAAACAGCCCACGACTGCTGAGCCACCAGGGCAGGACCCAGTGCCTGCTGGTTCCCTTGGAGCATCTGTAGTGTGGCGTCCTGACTGCCTTTCACATAAGTGAGTGTTTAATGTGGGCCTGCTATCAATTCTAAGTAAGGGACATCCAATTAGCCAACATCTCCAGATACAGATGGCTTTGGAAGAAGTGATTTATTTTCTTCTACTTACTTCCTCATTTGGGGCATCTTCCCTCTCGTTCACATCACACACCACTTCCTCCACCAGCACGTACTCATCAGATCCTCCCTCTCCAGCAGAGATGAGACCTCCTCGTTGGCTGCTGTCTTGAGTGCCACACTGGGGAAGGAGAATATCTTGTTTGCTACAATGGACTTGGGGCAAAGGTACAGTGACCTCTAAGAGGTGTTCATCCAAGCCATTTGCAGTTAGTGGGTCATGCCCAGAGCCCTCCTGTAGGCAGTCTGATTGCTTGCTGGGATCCTCCATATCATCTGACTTTCCTGAGTCCCCGTTCATCACAGAAAGCTTCTCTCTATCCACTGTGGCTTCCATTTTGGAAACTATTTCAGAGTTCAGCTCATCATGCAAAGGAAGCTCGTTGTTCCGCTGTGTGCAAGGACACTCAAGTGGTTTTGTGTAATCTTCAAGGATTCTATGCACTGTATTCTCATCCTGCCCCTGTCTTTGCATGAGCTTTGTGGCCCATTCTATACTACGCTGATACCTGCAAAATAGAAATAGTGTTAGTGACAACACTTGAATTTCAGAATTTAAAAGATAACAAAGCATGTAAAAAAGACGGGAAGGTAGTATGCCAAAATGTTTAGGGTGGTTTTTCTCAATAGTGGGCTATAGGTAAATGCTTTCTTTATACTTTTCTGTATTTTCTATGTTCTGCAATGACATGTATTACTTTTTGTTTGCTTTTATTAGAGAGCTTCATTTAACTTGCTGAATTTGAAAAAAATTAATCTCAGTTTAACAAAGTATGAAAATTTATGGAATTTAAAATTGGTGGACCAGCCCGGCCAGTGTGGCTCAGTGGCTGAGCGTCAACCCATGCACCAAGAGGTCACCAGTTGGATCCCCAGTCAGGGCACATACCCAGGTTGTGGGCCTGATCCCCACGCAGGAGGCAGTCAATCGGTGTTCTCTCTCATTGATGTTTCTATCTCTCTCTCCTAATATCAATAAAGAAAAAAAATTTAAAAAACAAACAAAAACTGGTGGACCAAATGGTTTTGGTAAATATAAAAAGAAAATGACCATCCTTTGTCAGAATTTGTTCTGTAATATTTTCTTTTTATCCTCACCTGAGGACATTTTTGCATTTATCTTCAGATAGAGCAGGAGGGAGAGGGGGAGGAAGAGAGAGAGGGAGGAAGAGAGAGAGGGAGAAACATTGATGTGAGAAAGACACATTGACTGGATGCCACCTACACAACCCCAACTGGGGCTGGGGACAAACTGCAACCAAGGTATGTGCCCTTAGTGGGAACTGAACCCGGGACTCTCTGGTCTGTGGGCTGACGCTCTAACTGCTGAGCCAAACCGGCCAGGAAAATATCTGTAATATTTTCAATTTTATGCATCATGTTTTCAGATATATAGATCCCATTTATAACATAAAGAGCCTTTGTTTAGTATTGGTAAGCAAAAATGAAAATTTTAATATATCACCCGGCTAGTGTGGCTCAGTGGTTGAGCGCCAACCCATGCACCAAGAGGTTGAAGGTTCAATTCCCAATCAGGGCACATGTCCAGGTTGTGGGCCTAATCCCCAGTTGGGGGCATGCAGGAGGCGGCCAATCGATGTTCCCTCTCATTGATGTTTCTATCTCTCTCTAAAAATCAATAAAGAAAAAAAGTTTAAAAAAGAAAAATTCAGTATCTTCCACAGTACCTCCTAATGTCTCTACCGCATGTGGAAAAAAAATGATTGTGGTCATATACACAGCCAAGCATTCCAATAGAAATGACCCCTTCTTCCATAACACATTTTAAACTATACTTTAATGAGAAAATACATTCTTAGTTTCTTAAACTCAAGGCAAGCCCTGAACTATTATTCCCAGTTACAAAAAGTTACAGTAAGACAACAGGGTTCTGCCCTGGTGGAAAAGCATCGGCACCTAACAATGCGCTGGGATGCGTTCATGGAACGTGAGACCACTGCCACATGTGAGAAGTCCGATCAGCAGAAGGCCAAAGACACTTTTGCCTCTACCTACAGCAATTAGTGTAAAAAGCACCCAAGACACATGGCTTGTGAGAAAACAGATGTAATTTTATTCTTCACCTTGAGTAATTTTGTGTGTGTGGATGACTGAATATGTCAAAGCTTATAAACTACTACACTTAAACAAGGAAGACGGCTCCTGCTGTATTTAAAAAGGAGATCTATGGTTGCTTAATCCTGATTCATCAGAAAGATCTCCAAGTTGACCACATCCTGTTTATCCTACATGGGAATGAACATGCATTCCTATATATTGGGAACAGTCTCTTAGATTTATAAATTAAAACCTGCAAGGCTACTTTAACACTGAAGCAGCAGGATGATGCACTGACTACATGCAGGGACTCCTGCATCACATTTCATGCTCAGCCCTGACTCTGTCACTTATAACTGCGTGACAGAGCCAATTAGTTAACTTCTCTGCTCTTCAATTTCTCCACCCGTAACACGGGGAAAATGGTACTACTACCTCATGTTCTGTTTTACTTTTTATAATCAGGGCAAAAAATGTAGCTGTCCATACCACAACAAGATGTCTTTCACCTGTATGAAAAGTATGGTCACTGATGCACACCGTTAAAAGAACTTTCACTGGAGAGATCTAAAAAGAATCTTTGCTCTTCATAACACCTAAAGCATTAGTTCTATGCTTTTATGGGTCTATGAATCTTCTTTATTTGAACACACATTTTTGTGTCAATGTGTATTTTTCTGGGGAAGGGATCCTCAACTTTTTTCAAATTCCTTGACTCAAAATATGTGAAAGAACCACTGAATTAAAGATTCAACAGTTCCCTTTGAGCAGAAGATTTGGAATTGAGAGAGAGAGCGCGCACAGACAAGTCACTGCTCTCCTCTTTGCAAAAGAGTGATTAAGATAGATATGAGTTCAAACCCCCACTCCATCATGTTCTTGTGCTAGCTACGTACCCTCCTCTCTGAGTTCTTCCTCTGTGAACCAGGGATAACTATACCTACCTCATGGGGTTGTTGCAAAGATTAAAGGAGACAAGACATGTAAGGTACTCAGGACATAGTAAATGCTCAATAAATATTTGTTACTATATGATTGTGGGGTTTTTAGGGAGATTTGAAAAATAAAAACATTTTGACTCAATATATGTCTCCTTAAAAATGCAAAGAACATATTAACGAATGAAAATGTGCACCATAATTAATGCTCTTTGAGAGCAGGGGCAGCCATGTGGGGACAAGTGCTGCACCACATCTGGGTTCTGGAGTTGGCTCTTCTGTGATTCTCAGCTAGGCCCCTTAGCACCTCTAGCCTCTTTTTGTTTTTCTGCCAAATGCCAGAATCGCGCCTGCATTTCTGTCTCATAATGACCTTGGGTGTTCATTTATGAAAGCGCAAATGAGACTGGCTGCAAAAGTATGTAGAAGAAAGCCTCTGAGTAAGACTGGTGATGAAAACAGCCGGATGCACAAATGACTAAGACAAATGGCACATGGGTCATAGAACGGGTGTCCTCTAATTGGCTCGCAATGCTTTCAAAAGCCAAACCCTACTGCAGTTAACCCCAAACACTGCTGGGGAAACTGCAGGAAGAGAAAAACGGAAGTCAACAAACACGAGGAGGAGAGTGGCAGAGGAAAAGGTGGCAGCAGTTCTGATTAGAAACAGTAATGAGACTGATGAAAAGTAGACCCATTTGAGAGCAGCAAGAACACAGACGGTACCACGTGAACATTCCTCAGCTACACATGTTTCTATGCCTTGAGCACACCTCTTCCATTTCCACAGAATGTCCTTGTCCACCATCTTATTAATTAATACCCATCTGTCACTGGAAGTTTGCAGAAAAATAATTTTGAGTCAGTCTGTTTAGGTCCAAGTACTTAAGCAAGGTACTTAACCTCCTCGGGTTGTATCCTCAGCTGTCAAAGACAGATAACAGGACCTACCTCACAGGGGTGATGGAAGGACTTAAGGAGACAATCCATACACCTGTTATTAGCATGGTACCTAGCACAAGGAACAAACTCAAGAAATGCCAGCATATGAAACAATGTTATTATTCTCATTACCTGTCAGTTCCTCACTGGCTCTGGAGCTAGACTTCCTGGTTTAAACTCATGTAATCTTAGGCAAGATAACAGCAGATTCCCCACACCTACACCTACCTGAAAATTTCTTAAGAAAACAAACTGAGATGATACAGGTATACAGACAGAACTGGCACTGCTGGAGCAATCAGTACCCACTGGCACTAGTGATGGTGGTGGTGATGTTGGCTACCACCAGAAGCTACCACGAGGCATGGAATGATCCTCCCCTGGAGCCGTCTGAGGGAGCATAGCCCTACCGGACCTTGATTTTGGATTTCTGGCCTCCAGCACTGTGAGAATAAATGTACCCTAGTTTGTGGTACTTTGTTATGGCAGTCCTAGAAAACGAATGCAAGGGTCAATAAAATGCTTGGACTATTACACTGTAGAGCTTACAAAGGGAAAACCTTCAGGTAGATGACAATCTCCCCCATCCAGAACCTTTCATATTCAAACTGGCTTGACATCATGCCATCTTGACGTTACTGCCAGCCTGATCAGAATGTAGTTATGAGGGGTGGGCTTCCCATCTATTTCTGAGTCTTAGTGTTGGTTGCAGCAACCTGCCTATACTGCAGCCCCCCTGGGATGGAGGTTCTGCCAGGTTCTTGGCAGGCCTCTCCCACAGACTGGGACTCCATCCCTAGCCCCAGTGTGCAGTTTTAGCCACAGCAGCCATTGAAACCTCCCTGGTGCCACTGCCTCCCGGACACTCCTCTGGCCATGGGGTCACTGGGCATGTAAATAAAAGGAGCTACCAGGTTCTGCCAGTACATGCAGAAGCAAGAGGAGAAACCATTGTAGGCCTGAGTAGTTTTAAAAGGCTTCCCGGGTTCGGCCAGTGTGTCTCAGTGGTTGAACGTCAACCCATGCACCAAGAAGTCGCCCGTTTGATTCCCAGTCAGGACACATACCCAGGTTGTGGGCCTGATCCCCAGTAGGGGGTATGCAGGAGGTGGCCAATCAATGTTCTGTCTCATCAATGTTTCTCTCTCTCTCTCTCTCTCTCTCATTTTCTCTCTCTGTAAAATCAATAAAGGAAAAAAAAATTATAAATAAAAATAAAAAAATAAAAGGCTTCCTGGAAGAGTTGCAACTCGGGCTGCATCTCAGGGATGATGAGGATTTATTTTTATCTATCTATCTATCTATCTATCTATCTATCTATCTATCTATCATCTATCTATCTATCTATCTATCTATCTATCTATCTATCTATCTATCTCCTCACCTGGGGACATTTTTGCATTTATCTTCAGATAGAGTGGGAGGGGGAGAGAGAGAGAGAAACATCGATGTGAGAGAGACACATTGAGTTGCTGCCACCCACACGACCCCAACCAGGACCAGGGACAAACCACAACCAAGGTACGTGCCCTTAGTGGGAACCAAACCTGGGACTCTCTGGTCCACAGGCTGATGCTCTAACCACAGAGCAAAACTGACCAGGGCTATTTAATTTATTTTTTAAATATTATTTCTTTATTGATTTTTTAGAGAGAGGAAGGGAGAGGGAGAGAGAGAAACACTGATGAGAGAGAACATTGATTGGCCACCTCCTGCACGCCCCGCACTGGGGATTTGGCCCACAGCCTGGGCATGTGACCTGACTGGGAATCGAACTGGCAACCTCTTGGTGCATGGGTCAATGCTCAACCACTGAGTCACACCGACCAGGTGATGATGAGGATTTAGATGGATGAACATCAGTCAACAAGATCCTACTGAGACCACTAAGTGTTGGGGCTGCCAAAAGGAACCAGGCATGGCCCCTGCTCTCCAAGAACTGACATACTAAATCTAGGTGTATGATGAATGGTATAGTGAGGGGCACCAAAGCAGACTCCGTGGGAACTGGAGGAGTGACCCCCCCGCAACTCAGCAGAGAGAAGGGTGGTGGTGAGGAGAGAAGCTCTGAGAGAGTGACGAGTAAGCTATATGTGGCATGTGCAGGAATAGCCAGGCAGTGTGCGTGTCTGCGAGGTTAGGGAGAACCGTTTCAGGAAAGCGAGGAAAGAGGTCAGGGTGTGTATGCCCACACAGCACAGGAGGCCAGTTAAATCCAAGTCTAAGCATCTTAGCACTTAAAGACATATGCATTACAGGGTAGTTGTTCACATTTGGAAGAAATTAAACTTACAAAGGATTTGGTTTAGAATTATTAAAAAAAATAAACAATACATTTCAAATATGATTTGATTCACATTAAATTCAGACAATTTTCAAGGACACACCTATTACAAAAAATAAAAAATAAAAGGCAGGGACTACCACATCAGAAAAGGTTATCTAAAAAATACCTGATGTAAACCATAATTTTTACCAAGGCCAAAGTTCACCACGACTTACTTCTTTGACGTGATTATAGGCATATTTGTCTTTATATCTGTAACAAAAAAGAAGTTCTATTAATTCAGACAAGTTTTCCTTAAGGGAAAATAACACTGAAAACCTAGAAAAGACTAAGAGAATTTCAAAATTTATAAAATCATACACCTAGAAGGTTGACTATCTAACCATCAGTGGCAACATGCACTTTATATGACATCATTCCCAAAGCCATGGCAGGCGCAGCTGACCAATCAGTGATCTTGCTGGGCTCAGTTGTGACCTTGGAATCCTTCTCAACTCAACACTCCAGCTAGGCAGCCATGGCATGCAAGAGGAATCCTTTCTGCCATCTCTGGATGCTCATGCCCTCAACATTCAGATGAGAATACCAAGGCCCTACAGTTACACACTTTGCTCCCATTGCCCAGTGCTCCATAAAGCATCTTCAGTGAAAACTGTGCCTCTAAGAAAGGGCTGTTGCCCTGGCCAGTTTGGCTCAGCGGTTAGAGCGTCGGCCTGCAGTCCAGAGAGACCTGGGTTCGGTTCCCGCTAAGGGCACATACCTCGGTTGCAGTTTGTCCCCGGCCCTGGTTGGGTCGTGCAGGAGGCAACCACTCGATGTGTTCCTTTCACGTCGATGTTTCTCTCTCTCTCCCTCCCACTCTATCTGAACAAAAAATAGAAAAGTGTCCTCGGGTGAGGATTAAAAAAAAAAAAAAGATATTTAAGAAAAAGAAAAAGCTGTTAAAGTAAGTTTCATGGTGGTGTTCGGGTGTGGATATGGCATATCAGGATGATGCTCTAACCAACTGAGCTATGTGGCCAGGGCTTTGGGTGTGGATTTGGGAGTTCTGGGCTCTACTTCTGCCTCTGGGCATCTGGCTGGAGGAGTCTTTCCACCAAAAATGTTTATTGCGCCCCCTAATGGTATGGGTTTTATTTATTTATTTTTTTAACAAATTAAGTTTTTGTGTTTTTTTTTTTATTTTTTAGAGAGAGAAAGGGGGAGGGAGAGAAAGAGAGAAACATCGATGAGAGAGAACATCGACTAGCTGCGTCCTGCATGCCCCCCACTGGGGATTGGGCCCACAACCTGGGCATGTGTCCTGATCAGGAATCGAATGGGCGACCTCTTGGTGCATGGGTTGATGCTCAACCACTGAGCCCATGGACCGAAAGGTCTTGGGTTCGATTCCCAGTCAGGGGCACATACCTGGGTTGCAGGCTTGATCTCTCACCCTGGTCCGGGTCGTGCAGGAGGCAACCAACCAATGTGTCTCTCTCACAGCGATGTTTCTCTCTCTCTCTCTACCCTCCCTCCCTTCCATACTATCTAAAACTCAATGGAAAAAATCCTTGGATGAGGATTAACAACAACAAATTATACAAAAATCAATGAAAAGCATATCCTTGGGTAAGGATTTAAAAAAAAAACATCCTTTCTAATTATGTTTTAACCTGCTGATATTGGTTATGTTAATTACCATATGACTTCCCTAGAGAAAACACTAAAAGACTTATAAATTAAAGAAGACCGCCAAGTGAGAACTATACACATTACTATGTCTTAACAAATACATCAATGTCATAATTATTGTTGTAAATTCTAATTCTAGAAACAAAACTCATTTTGTATACAGGTGAGCAGGTACCTAATTATCAGTACCTTCCCCATGCAAAGTACTCTTCTAGGCAATGCTTAACATCAGAGAAGCCTGAATACCCTTTTGATAATTCCAGGAATGAGATAAAACACATTTTCATCAATTATAAGAACCATTTTACCTTTATTAAAATTATCCTATTTACTATTTTTAGCAGTAAAATTACCAGTGTGCATATTAGTTCTTCACTAGGATTTTACTATATAATCTTGCGGTGGAAGATCAAAAATGAAAGAAAATAATAGTTTGCTCAAAGAACTGAATGATGTATAAGTTTACCTTTCCACTTAGCAACCAGCTTAGGATCTGAAATTGTGAAGCTTGGACGGCTTCTAGACAGGATTCCTTTTCCAAAATAACCCTTTCAGGAAGAGAGAAAATAAGTTAATTCACCTTTAGTTATCAATTTTTTAGCTGAGGGAGAATCACTATTTGAGCTAACAAGAAATTTATTCCACTTTGCACAGCTTTACATCTTTCCTCTGATTAATGAATACTAATAAAGATCTTAGCATTTTATCTCCCTGACTGAAGAGTGCTAGTAAGTTTTTAGTACACTTCGTTTGCCTCATAACTAATGATTTCAGTCTAGGTCTGACCAGCTGAAGGCAGCAGGGCAGGCAGAGGCAGTGATTCTTCTTCGCATGGGGGTCAGGAGCAGTGTGTCTAAAAGCAGGAGCCTACCAGGTACGAAAAGCTTCCTGGATTCCCTTGTACTCCCTTCCTGCTGATTCCAAAAACAACACAGACTTTTCCCCCTCCCATTTCTTAATTTAAGCCCATAGAAAATTGAGAGAACAATAAAATGAACACCTTTACCCTCACCTAGGTTTAACAATCAGAATAAGTAATGTGCATAGCACTTTACAAAGCCCCTGTTTGACGTTACGTGTTGTGAGTGAGGAGAGACTGCCTTTGGCCTAGACCTCCATCTCACCAGTGTCAATGCCACCCGCTGTAGCCCACTTCGGGAAAGTGGCTAAAACCTATATATTTTGTAAAAACATCGAGAGAGAGCACATTTATAGACAGGAAGTGGATCGGTGGGTGCCTCAGGCTGGGAGTGAGAGCAGGGATTAAGGTCAAAGGGTGTGTGAGGAAACCTGTGCTGATGGGAAGGCTCCGAAATGGGATTGTGGCAGTGGTTGCACAATCACTGAATTCTACACTTACAATGGCTGAATTTTATGGCTGTAAATTATACCTCAATAGAGCTGTTTAAAAAGTGCCCCAGTAATGAATTGGCTGGGGGAGGGGATGGGGGGTAGGGAACAAGCTACCAATCACAACCCCAACCTATTATTAATGGAAAACAGCAAAAACTACAACTTGTCCTCTTCTAAGAAGAGGTACCCAACTAGGACAGAGAGCAGGTAAGGAGCCAGAGTACATGCTGAAGCCTCATCTGACCTGCCCATGAGCCAGAACAATATGCTACTCTGTGGTTACCTTGGGGATGGAACAAGAGTAAGATGGGGATTTTTACCCATTAATTAAATTTCTGTAAATTGCTTAATTTTTTTTTTTTTTTTTTTTTTTACTACAGTGAACATGTATTGCTTTTATAACCGAAAGACAAGAAAGGCCAATGTTACTGGCCCTACTTCACTGCTGAAATGTGGGTCCACGGTGGGGGAGTTATCCTCATGAAATATGGCTTCAGGGCACCTGAGTCAAATTGCAATGTTCCTACATGCGACCAAACAACCGGAAAAGAATATGGGTCATTTATGCTTTGTTTTGGGAATGGATGGGGAGAAGAAAAAAGAATAGCTGGATCCAGGTTGTCATGAAGTAGCCACGCCAGGGCCATCTGTGCTTACTTTCTCATACAGCTGCTTGATATCGTCTGCGTTCTTCACAATTACACTGTTGTTTATCATTTCAGCACGAAATATTCTGAAGTCTTTCTGACCAAAAGGGATGGGAAACGGAGACTCATAATTCTCACACACTCTTCTTTTCCTCTTTGGGGCATGAAAAACTGCTTCTGCCATTTTTCAAGTGCAACTGTTCTTTAAAGAGTATAATGAAGAGAAAGAAACAGTCAATCAATAACTACACTGATAAAAAATGCAAGTATATTTATACTTAGGCTCAGAAAACTTTGTGGTCTATGGGAAAAATATTTATAAGGCAGTAAACTAAAAGACAGTCATGATAATATTTTGTAAAAGCAGTGCAAATCTCAATCACCTAGAATATCTCAATTAATTCCCACAACAATGCCCAAGAAGTAAGTGGCAAAATTTCTAACTGCAGTTGACAAGACTGAGGCCTAGTGCCATGCCCTAAAAGTCACAATGCTATGCAAAAGTCTCCTGATAGCAAGCACAATAGGATTTGCCTCTTAGGATTGCTCCCATTCTTTCACTCAGCCAATAGACATTCACTGTGTATTTATCAGGGGCTCCTAATATCAGAGGTGCTGGGGATATAAAGATAAAACTGAGACACCCTGTTCTCAAAGAATTAAATCTAGTGAGCACTTCATTTTCAAAAAAAAAAAGGACCTTAAAATACATTCCAAACATTATATCAATCATCTTCCAATTTTTAAGGTAAACTAATTAATAAAAATGACAGTAGCAGTTCCAAATTAAGAAGGGTACGAGGGCCCTGGCCGGTTTGGCTCAGCGGTTAGAGCTTTGGCCTGCGGTACAGAGAGTCCCGGGTTTGGTTCCCGCTAAGGGCACGTACCTCGGTTGCAGTTTGTCCCCGGCCCTGGTTGGTCGTGCGGGTGGCAGCCACTCGATGTGTCCCTTCACATCGATGTTTCTCTCTCTCTCTCTCTCCCTCCCGCTCTATCTGAACAAAAATGGAAAAACGTCCTCGGGTGAGGATAAAAAAAAAAAAAAAAAGAAGGGTACGAGGAGGCACTCTAATGCCAGAGTGCCAGGATAGAAATCAGCTTCACTACTTCCTAGCTGTGTGATTGTGGGCAAAGGTTATTCTCTCTGTGCTTTGGTTTCTTCAGCTGCAAAATAAGAATAAAAATAAACTCTATATTATAGTGAAGACCCATGAAGTGCTTAGAAGAGTACCTGGTTCATACTGAGTGCTACGCTTATATTCACTGTAATTATCATTATGGGGTGAGCACTACCAACATCATTATATAGATGAGGAAACTGAGTCAGGTTTGAGAGATTAAACGGCCCTGGAGAGCTGGGCACTAGACCAGTGCAGGTCTGCTGAACTCCAAAGTCCATGCTCTTCTTTCTAGGTTCTGCTGCAAGCACCGGTACCATCCATCCCCCTTTGTCTGAAGGCTCACTATTTTTCAAGGTTAGAAGCTAAAGGGTTAGGAAGAATCGTGGAATTACTTACTGTGCACCCAGCGCTAGGAGGGAGTAAAGGAAGCTGAAGTCAGTACCTCTCCCTTCCAGGCTTTACACTCAGCCTGAGACAAAACAAGCACCTCACACACAACAGGCTGCAATTCAATAATGGCTAAAGGAAGGAAGTAAAGTTGAGTGTATTGTGAGATAAAAACATAGAGCCATGGTAGATGCATTTAATTTAGGAAAACTCAACCATATGCAAGGGGAAAAAAATGTAAACAGTGCAGGAGGTTGGGTCAGCCACTCCAAGCAATGAGCAGACACCCTAGAATCTGCTGCTCCCTTAGTCCTGGGTTTAGACTGGATTTAAACTGAGAGTGTATCTGGTTCTTGAACATACAGTGGAGCTGCATCACACAATTAAACTACATGGCTCCAAACCCTCACAAAGAAAGAAGTACAATTGATTATTTAGGTGCTTCCTGCATTCAATACCAGTATCCCACTGGGCAGGGGATGTAATCAAGCCTGACGGAGCCAATGAAGGTGCCCAAAGCTGAGAAAGGAAGGTGAGTGGTGTTAGGGCTCATGATCACTCAAAAATAAACAAAAAAAGATTTGTCCAGTGTGTGATGTCTTTACGCACCCTTTCAAAGAAGTTGAAGAATTAAATGAGGACAAAGAAAAACATAGACCAAGGAAGAGTTAGAGAAATTGATAAATCAGTTACATAAATAACTATGAAAAATATAAGAATCAGCAAGTTAGAACCTTCATAGAATTGCCAAAGTATTCCAAGCAGCAAAATGCTAGAATAATTTCTAAGATCCCTCAATGCAATCACATACTGAACATGACTGCACACATTTTACACACACACACACACACACACAATAGCATTCATAACAAAACTATGTATACCACATGTTAACGGGCAATTAAGAGATTTTCTTCCAAGGGCATTTTATCTAGATTTTCACTTGCTGACCTATCCCTCAACCCGTCAACTACTGCATTTACTATTCAATTGTAGAAGTAGCAATTTATTCTAAAGCTTAAACAATGCTGTGTTGGCTTTTCTGAGGCAGGACATTAATCTCAACTGAGGAACTTTCTAGGGATTTCCAGGAACAATTCAGATTTTTATGAGATTTTCACTTAAAAAAAAAATTTTTTTTTTTCCTTTATTGACTTTAGAGAGAGGGGAAGGAAGAGGGAGATAGATAAAGACATCAATGAGAGAGAACATCGACTGGCCACCTCCTGCTTGCCCCCCACTAGGGATGGGGCCCACAACCTGGGCATGTGCCCTGATGGGGAACTGAACTGGCAACCTCTTGGTGTATGGGTCGATGCTCAACCACTGAGCCACACCAGTCGGGCAGATTTTCACTTTTATAAGTTAACCTCTGGTTAGTATTTGACTTGTATATATTACATTTGGAATATTAAAAAAATATTTAATGACTAACTTCAAGAACTTCCAATTTAAATTCTCTCAAACAAGCGGTAATGAAAAGCTATGTTTTAATTTGCCTGTTTTTTTGTTTTGTTTTTTAGGATTTTTTTCCCTTTGATTGTGAATGTACCCCTAAAAAGTAATACTGAGCTATGACACTTGGTGGCAAGAACTCTGTACTATAACCCAAGTGTGTGTGATAGATTTCTTGCCACAAAAACAAAAGTTTTTCACAAAACCTCCAAGTCCGGGATCTAGTGTCATCTCTGCCACGTGACAGCATGCACATCAAGAATTTGGCTCATAGTAGGCCTTCCATATATACAAAGATGCCATTATTATCGTGTGACCTTCACAACCTACTTAAGCTCTCTAAGCCCAGTTTCTTCATCTTTGAATTGAACAGGACTAGGAACACAGCCTGGAAGTTACTCAAATGTTAACCACAGAGTAACCACATGACCCAGCATTTTACTCCCCAGTATAGATGCAAAAAAAGGGAAAACATGTTCACGCAAAAATTTGTACATGAACATTAACAGCATTATTTATGAAAAAAAGGGAAAACCGCCCTGGCCGATTTGGCTCAGCAGATAGAGAGAGCATCAGCCCTTGGACCAATGAGTCGTGGGTTCGATTCCGGTCAAAGGCATGTACCTCAGTTGCGATTTGTCCCCAGCCCTGGCAGGGGTCATGCAGGAGGCAGCCACTCGATGTGTCCCTTTCATGTCGATGTTTCTCTCTCTCTCTCACTCTATATGAACAAAAAAATGTAAAAATGTCCTTGGGTGAGGATAAAAAAAAAAGTGAAAACCACCCAAATGCCCATCAACAGATGAATGAATACAAATGTGGGATACCCATATAGTGGAACATTATCAGCAATAATAAAAGAATGAAGTACTGATACATGCTACAATGTACATGATGAACCATGAAACCAGTAAGTAAAATAAGCCAGTCACAAAAGACCACATACTGTATGTATAAGACCATTAATATGAAATGTCCAGAATAAGAAAATTCATAGAGACACAAAGTAAATTAGCAATTGTAGGTGCTGGGGAAAGGGAGAATAGTTGGAGTGACTGTTAATAGATACAGGGCTTATTAGGGTGAGGACAATGTTTAGACAGCAGTGATGGTTGCATAACTTTGTGAACATACTAAAATCACAGAGTTGTACATTTTACAAAGATGAATTTTATGGTATGTGAATGATCTCTCAATAAAACTGTTATTTAAAAAATTCAATAACACAAATTAAATGATCTCTAGTTTCATACTTTTGTAGAAGAGATGTCTTGTGCTGAATTAGGAAGGCAAAGGGGAGAAAGGACTGAATTCACTACTCTCCAAATCTGCAATAGGCATTTAGGAAATGTTTCTTTAGCACCATGACAGGAGAACAGCATGATGGAAGATGGGGGATGTGAGTAAAGTTACAAGAGGTAACCATCGTTGGTAGGTACAACATGCTAGCATTGACTGTGCTGTATGCTGCACAGGTAGGCAGTACTATCCTGATTTCACAGACAAGGAAACTCAGGCTTAGAGAGAGCAAGTCATTTGCCCAAAGCCTCATTGTTAGGGAAGAGGTGAGATTAGTAAGGCAGGGAGAAAGGTCATGGTAAGAAGACTGGACTAGAAGAGGACCCAAGTCTGTAGCACACACAGATGTATAAGGAGTTTAGGATGTGAAGGCTGGTTTAGACTTGGAGACAGTGCATGTTATGACAACCGAAAAGAGATTAAGATAATTAACCTGGGTTGGCATGTAACAGTGTCTCTCAAGCTTAGTTGCCCTTAGAATCACCTGGAGAAAATAAAAACTCTTAATATCCAGGCCTTACCTGCAATTACATCAGAAACTCTGGGATGGAACCCAAATGATTCCAACATGTAGCCAAAGTTGTCAACCACTGGTTATAGGATGGCCTATTCAAACACACTTATACCCAACAGCCCCTGTTGTACAGATGAGGAAAGGGACTCCAGGCTGAATGCTACGTACCTGAAGGAGGTTGTTACTTTTCCTTTCTCAAACCTGGGCATACCTGACTCCAGACACCAGCAGTGTTAAGTATATTTACTTTTCTATTAAAAGCAGGGCTTGTTCTTTATTCTTCCCTTGAGCAGATAAGCTAACACCTTTTAGGTACTCAATAAATATTTATTCCAAACAAAACAAAGCAAAACCAAAAGGGGAAGGTAGCGACATTTAATTTTCAATTCTCTGGGTCCACCTTGCCTTAACAAGCCCGGTTAA